AAATATGAATCATAACATGAAATAAAAGTGTGCACAATAAGGTTTACTGTAATCAATCTATCATGAGTTAAACAACATATGTGTCATGAATATACATCGTACGTGTCCGGAGGCCAACAAAATATTTTTAGGAATGCATATATACGCATGATCACCATAAAAAATTACACAGTATTGAAAACACAACCACCAAATCTGTTCACTTGGCCGAAAGAGCTTATCGTTGTTGAAATATGTTATCTTTCTTGGCACAGATGATACTTGAATGTGCTTCGTTCTCTTTGTTTTGAGTTTGATAGAGGCTTCGGGATCTCGCTTAGTTGAATCCGTCATTGGAAGATTCGTCAAATGTGAATTTCTAAATAGAAGAGGAATTGTGCATCGTCGCCGACTTCTGTCAAGTGCGGATATGCAAATAGAGAAGGAATCAATGACGGGGGTGGTTATTTGACGGCGGCGGGCGTGGCTGGAGATGTCAGCGGCGGCGGAGTGTGTTGTAGACAGAGACAGCGCCATCGAGGAAGGGATATCTTTAAGGCTTGATAAATAAGATGGGTAGAAATGGTTAAAAAACTTAATATTATATATTTGATTTTTAATTTATTTAAATAATTGTCATAATGCATTTATTTGGACAACGTTTAATTAAATTATATAAGAAAATATTTTATTGTAAAACATCATAGTAGTATTATAGAGACGCCATTTTGTAATACTGTATTTATTATTATAATTTGAAAGTATACAATTTTGAAAGTAATTATATGCAAACGTTTTTATTTTGTTGAAGAAAAATTTAATCCTGAAATTATCAGAGGTAGTTACGATAATTTTTTCAAATTGATTTTTTAATTAGATATCTTAATTAATTTTTAAATTACCAAAATACCCTCAATCAAATTCAATTGTTGAATTGCCGGTAGAAATAATCCTATGGATTAAAATCATCCAGATGTTGCTAAAATTTTAATAAATGTCAAAAGGATACCAAAATTCATATATGTATATAATAATGGTAATACTAACTTCCTCTCATAGTAAAGATTATACTCATTTGTCCTAATTTAATGTATTTTCTTTCATAAATTAAATAACAATAATATTTTATTAATTATTATAAACATAAAAGATAATTTTAATATTATTGTCTTTGTAAATAAAAATGTATTTTTTTTTTATAAAAATTAGAAGTATTTTAATATTTATTATGAATTATTTTTATTATAATAAAAAACAATATTTTTGAACAGTATACAAAAATGATACATTGAATTGAAACAAATTGAAGTATTTACTTTTAGCTCAAAAATTAAACAATAATAATATTTAACTAATAGTTAGTGTTACTTTTGTGTGTAAAATTTTTTCTTCTCTTATGTGTTTTAATTCAATGTAACCATATTGATGTAAATAAATGTAAATTTTAAAGTATTTATAATATTTAGTGTGATTAAAAATTACTAGAGAAATATAAATTTTGTATTTGAACGAACCAAAATAAAAAATATAAACCTTTTGAATAGACAAAGAAAGTAATATATTTATTAAAAATTACTTTTTCTGTCTTATAAAATTAAAATATTTAGGTTCGACATAAAAATAAAAAAAAATTATAAAAAAGTAAAACATAGAAAAATAATTGAAGATATTTATAAAAATTAATAATATCTATTGTAAATAAAAATGGATTGAAAGGTACTACATCCGGTATAGTGTCCCTTTACTGTAGATACGAGAATTTATGAGAAATATAATTAGTAAATAATTAAAAATATATTGGTGAAAATAATAATTATCTAATAAAATTTATTTTAAATTAAAATTAACATAACTAATTAGTATAAGTAAAATTAAAAAATAAATTAAATTAAAAATTTTAAAATAAGATTAAAATATATAATATTTTTTTGAAAAAAGAAAGTGACAAAATAAATGAAATAAACGAAAATAAAAAAATAGACACGGTAAGTGGAACAAATGGACTAATATTTAAATATTGATTTTTTACTTGCAAATTTAGTAATAATATAAAGTTAATTGACGAACAATCTATATATATATTTTTAACGGAAAGTATAAAAAGTGTTGGATTAAAATCGGGTAAAAAAGAACCTCAATTGGAGGCCGCCTTTATTAGTGGCCCATTGAATTCCGGTGTTTATTTTCTTTGGAAGCAAAGAATATATACATACATACATATATATATATAATATATTATGTATATACATATATCTGATTATATATGTAAATCTATTTTAATAAAATATATTTTTTATTACAAAATATTATATCAAATATTATTTAAATTAAATTTTAAAATTTAAAAAATAAAGATACTATCTTTGAGTGTGAAAAGTGTTTTAACCGTGACAAAATTTTCAAAAATATGAGTTTTTTCTTTCTATTGTTTTTTTACATATTTTCTAAAAAAAATTAATACATTACACACATTCATTATTTTTATATATTCTATATAATTTTCTATACAAAAATTTATATCCAAGAATCTCACAAAACAAATGCACCTTTATCTAAAAAAATATAATAATTTTGTTCACTAGATAACACAAATTTCAATATATATTATATAATCTATTATTTTATAAAAAAAATCAAGATTCCATTTAAAATATTTTTATATTATCAAAACGATTTTACATATTTTACATTAAAAATATTTCAAACTAAAATATTAGACAAACACTTGTAATATTTTCACAACTTGTAGTATCTCACACAAAAACACTTCAATAAATATTGAATAAATTTGTTTTGTTGATGATGTTTTGACACTTTCCTCGGATGTGTTTGTTTAGTGAAATTATTTAAAAAGATATATATTTTTATATGAAATATAAAAAATTATAAAAATAATAAATATATATAATATATTAATTATTTTGGAGAAATATATATTTTGAAATTTGTAGAAGAACACACCTCAAGTTTTGCTAAAAAGTCCATTATATCTTTAACTTTAACTTTAATTTTCACCTATTTTGGATATGTGTTTAAATATAAGTTATACAAATATTTTATTGTTTTGAATTATTTTTAAAATAGTAACATATTAAATAATCTATTTCTCATTCAAATTTATTATCGCTTTTTCTTTTATCATTTAAATTTATTTTTATTTTTCAGTAAAAAAATACTATTTTTTCTATTTTTTTTATCTTAAAAAATAAAAATTTCTATTTTTATCTATTTTTTAAAACTCTGCTCGATTAAATAAGCACAAAGTTGAATACCAGGGATAATAAAAAATATCAAATTTTAATAAAATTGAGTATTAAATATAATATGTATTTTTTAATAGAGAACATAACTCTATCTAATATTTTAAACTAAAAAATATATTCAATGTGATCATTAAAAATAATAATTTTAATAAATAATACAAAACTAGATTTAAAAATATAAGTAAACAGTCAATTATTTTCTATTTAAATTCAATACTTAAATTAACAATGTTGAAAATATAATTATGTTCATTATATATATAATTCAATTTTTTACTAGGAATATGCACAGTTTTCAATTAAAACACAAATATTTATTTTTGTATAAAACATATATTTAGTAAATATTTCATTTAAAAACAACAAAAATCAAAATACAAAAATTTTGTTGAGAAATAAATAAATATTCTCCCATATCTCTTCTAAAATTGTGCTCATTTTTTTTTGTCTCGTAAAAATATTTTTATTTTCTTTTTCAGTACAAAAATTTATACATCTGTAAAAAAATGCGTCAGTTTTCATTTTTTTTTTGTTTTTCATAAAAAAATAATTTTATTTTTCTACATTTCTTAATACAAAGCACAATACAATTAAATCCGTGTTGAAATCATTTGAGCATATTTTTACGAGATGAAGCGCATAAAAAAGTCATATACATTATAACACGTGCCAAAAGTTTTGCACACAATAAAGAAAATTACGAGAGTAATATTTATTGTTAATTCGATTTCTTATTCAATCTTTGGGCCAGAAATTTTATCTCTTTGAAATATAATTTTTATTTACCATCTCTTACTTTAATTACCTTAGTTGAATTTGCTAATATCTCTTCCCCATATTTGAAATTGTGACAAAACATGAATTAAATTTTACAGTCCTGTAGATCGACTTCGGCATCACTTGCTACGCAGCAATTGTGGTGTTATAGTATTTTTATTGGAAGCACCGATGTTACCATTCACACAATAGTAATTTTTAAAGGTTACACTTAAAGATATATATGAGAAAAAAATCACATTTGGTCCTAAAATAACCAAAATTAATTAATTTTTGTCCAAATATAAACAATTTTAATCAATTTTGGTCCCACTGTTAAAAATCTAACGGAAATTGCTAACGTGGACATAACGGCGTTGACGTGACAATTGACCTGCAAAAGATATGACCATATTTAATTCTAAAAAGAGTTAAATATAGTTAATATAAAAGAAAATCAATAGTAATCTCAATATAGTTAGAATATATTAATTTTAGTTTCAATTAAAAAAGATTATCGGGTATATTTTTTTGAAAATTTTTTTGCCTAAAATTTTACTAATTCACCAAAATTTTCATTTTTACGAACATTCAATCAATCAATTATTATATCAAAATTAATATAATAAAAAATTGCAAAAATATTTCAATCGGTGCATTGTAATACTAATAAAACAACATTTATAAAAAAAACTTATACGTAAATGTGACCTTAGAGGCAGACGGAAGGAGTATATATATATATTCTTTTTTCACCAAAAAATACTATATTATATATTACTAAATTTTTTTCAAATTCATCGAAAAAAACCATAACCCCTAGATTGATTAATCAATAATCATTAATGCATCTTGATGCTGATTTGAGGTGAAACCGCAACCTTAATGTAAACATGCTATGAAAATAAACGACCCCTCCCCCTGTAAACATTAGGGGTCCTCGATTTACATAGTGAGTGAAGTGATGTATTACGATAAAAAATTATGAAAATTAACAAAAAATAAAGGAACACAGCTTATATGTTTCTTATTCCAAGTGTAAAAATAAATCTCTAAAAACAAATATGTAGCTGCGGAACAATATAAACTAAAACACCTGTAAATTCTGAAAGTTCAGGAGATATCGAAGAATTTTTCTTATCTTTCTGTTTTTTCATTGTATGGCATGGCATGGCATCAAGGGAAGAATCCACATTGAAGTCTGTTGCAAGTTAGGACAAAGCATCCTTCATTATAGCGCGATGGGATAACTGCTGCTTGTAAAGATCACGAAAGATTCGATATTTAGCATCATGGTAATTCCTTACATTTGCATCCTTAGAGGGATACACAACCTGCAAGCGCCATGCCCGATGAGATGAGCTTACGTAAGTATCAAAGTAGAGATTGCAATAACAAGGAGTTGTTTTATTACCTGCCCAGCTGCATTTAGAGCTTTCATGGATTCTCTTACAGTGGAATACTTTTTTGAAGCCACAGCGCCGAGAATTGCAGCGCCCAAGAGGACTGATTCATTTTCCCGGGGAAGGACTATAGGATAACCTGATCAATTTTTATAGTCACTCCAAATATGTCATCTTGCAAATTCAACAAAAGAAAAGAATTGCGAGAAATGAATTCGAGTTTGTATATGTCGTATCACAAATTTTGATTCTGTATATCATAGCTTGTTACGAGACATTCTTTACTTGCACTTCACATTGAATAATCACGGCAAATAGAAACACACGCATGTAGAGAGAGAGAGAGCACCTGTAATATCAGCATGCTCTTGAACGAACAATGAGTTCTTTGTCAGCCCGCCGCATGCAAGTAGGGTGTCGATCTGATTGCAGAAGAATTGGTAAGGACATAGTACACCAAACACTAATAATGAATAGCAAGTTTGGGATCAACATTGTTTACTCCCTACGACTGCTAACAATTATTTCATACAAAAGTAACAAAATATGCCTTTCAAAATGTATTATTTATTAGATATAGGCCCTTACAGTCCAATAATATTTTAGGCTTTAGATACATTACAAACATATAAAGTATTATGTATTTTAAAAATATAAGAATGCGCCACAAATATGAGATACGAGAGAATATAGTAAGTCTTTAATGTTGTTTATGATTTCGAGCTCTATCATATGTCAATAAGCACAAAACATACTCTCTGCATGTTCTAACTTCTAACTAAGTATGCATAATGTGGTGAAATGGCAACTATGAACAATATTGCAAAACATAAAGTAGTTTTGTTACTTTGTGTCCATGAGCGTTGCAGTGCTCAACAATATGCCGTGTCCCGTATGCAATTCCCTGCACTGTTGCCAGGTACAAAAGCGCCAACTGTTTTTCACCCATGTCGAGTGTCAATCCGCATATCATCCCCTTTGAAATAGGGTCTGCAACAGGAGATCTAAACTAAAAACTTAAGAGACGTACAAAAATGACTATTTTGAAACAAGGAAACAATCACTTTCAATCTAGCTTTCACCTATTTCCATGAAAATCTGGTAGGACATGGATGTCGTTACTCAAAGCAGCTAGAAATGGAGCTCCTGATTCTTGCTTTATTGATTCCAGTGTCTCGTTAAGAAGTTCAAATATCGAAATACCTAAAAAAAAAAGCCAATTATGAATATTATAGAAAACATTTAGGCAAGGGATAACACACAAATGACATGCAGTATATACCGAAACACAACTCACTTCGAGAAGCAGCTTTATTTATGAGGCGTGGGGAAGCAACATGACTTTCAATAATGTAATCAAGTAATGCGCCTGTGGCACTCTGGCCTCCTTCTGTTAGCCAATATTGCGGCACCATAGCTAAAGATATAAAACCAAACGATTTATAGGCGTGTTGTACCCATTGCATAATAAAAAAATAAAAAGACATGGAAATACCTATTCTGAAATAACACATACTTGAAATACGTCATTTAAGATCAACCAACAATTAAGGAAATTATTCAGCCACTTTGTCATACGGAAAGTCAAGCATTCCAGTTCGACCATACGATTTACTATACAACCTAAGTTGTAAAATCAAAATTCTTTCGGGTGATATTAATGCTATCCATCAGCCCTTAATATTCAATGCTTTAATTAAATATGTAAAACTCCATATCCATGCTTCCAACTAGATGAAATAAAAAAAGGTACAAAGAATGAACATTGATCATTAGAGAGGCACCAAAAGATGTATCCCAACAGAAAGTTAGTGTCTATAAAATAAATCATAAAGCGAAAAGTGGTTTTCATAAAAAAAACAAGTTTATATATATTTATATACCTGACCAAAATGGCCCCCACACTCCTGGAATGAACAATTTGCTCTTAGAAATAGCCATATGACAAGTGGAAGTTCCGCATACTAACACCATTCGATGACATATTGCTTCTTCATCAACCTCTATACATGAGTTATCAATAATATTTAACAAAGGAATGACCACAAATAATATCCAACATGAAAATCTTACATTGTTGCGAGAAACTAATATATATATATAATTAACCTTTTGAATCAGACACACTCTCCATCACGCCTACGCCACCAGCATGAGCATCTATTAATGATGTACCAACCGGTGTCCCAGCTGCCAAACCCAGTTCCTGAAAGCCAAAGTTGCTTCTTAGCAGAATGAGTGACTTAAGATGAAGTTGATCACAGTTTTAGATTATTTATTGTTATTATAGAGCACATTAACAGAATACTTTCATTTTTAAAAGAATTCACATTAACATCATTACTGTAGTGAGTTTAAGAACTTTGGGAGTATCGGTTAAAATGAAGTGATCTTTTTCAAAGTTTCTTACTTTTGCAGCTTCTGGGGTCAGTCCTGAGCCCAAAGCATGACCTGGAAAAGCTACACTTCGCCCTGTAAACATTTTATTTCAAGAAAAGTTAAGAAATAAGTACGTAAGTAATATCATGTTCTTAATTCAAAGAAAACAACTTACATAAGCAGAGTCAACGATAAGAAAATCACACTCGTATGCAGAACACTTCTATTTGTTTTCGCTTTCTACAGACAAAAAGGTTGAGGAACCTATCTACCTAGGTCGTAGAATTGTTGGGAATTTCTTCATAAATGTATCAAAGTCACTTAAAATGACACATAATTTTAATATCTTTAATTGACTAGTACTTAACAACAATCGGTTCATTCAAATGCATTATTTGAGGGGAACAAAATCATCTCCACTCGCTTTAGGAACTGTATATAAGCAAAAATATTTAGACGCAACCACTGCACTACTTCTATATTTTAATACGTATTTCAAGGATAAATTCAAAATGCAGGCTAAAAGAAAATTGGAGAACAAAAGAACAAAAATGCACCATCTTCCACACCAAGTTATCAAAATGGCCATTTGTGAAACACAATATGCATAAAAGGAACAATTGTCACCAAGCCACGTTATTAGGAATAGGACAGCAAGAAGAATACCAATCTTGGAATGATGACCATCAATAAGGTCACCCAATCCAATGTCCTCCCAAAAATCATCATCCCAGCCACGAGCTTCCATGTCCCGAGAATCTTTCTCATTAATCTGCTCCATGTGTGCATGGCCCAAATAGGTCCACTTGCAAACAGTTGTGCACAGACTTCGAGTGTCATCACCTGTAGCTCTAAACAAAATTCAAATATAATTAATATATCAACGGAAGAAACCAATTCAACATGGACAAACATACCTGTATGATAGCCAATCACTTAGATCCATCCACCTAGATACCATTGACCAAGATTCCGGTAAATTTTCTTTAACCCACAAAAGCTGGAATTGTAAATTAGTAATATTAGATATCTATGAGACAATTATAAGGTACTAATGGTCATATGTCTATTCATTGATCCATAGAAATCAAGAGAAATTTTAAATGGAATGACAATATGCAAATCAACAAACAAACCATTGAAAAGGATCATAATAGCGCGATGTTTTAGCATGAAAATGTCTTCCACTGATACTATAAAATCACTCCTCTACATTTAACATAGATACATGATGTATAAATCTCAAGCATTGTCTTATTCACTTTGACACCCCGAATCAAATAGCTCTATGAAACATGAAATAAGAATTGCCAAACAATTGAAAAACACACACTTCATATCTGCGCAATTACCTTTGGAGGTTCCATCTCAGGAGATACAGCCCCACCACAATATTCCAATACAGGCGATTTCGAAGAGTTAATTCTCTCAGCCTGTTTTACAGCTCTATGGTCCATCCACACAATAATGTTTCTTCGTGTGTCCCCAGTCCATGAAACCGTCACAGGCTCTCCATCATAATCCACAGCAACTACACCACAAATTAATTTCAAAATTAGGCCATAAGCTACACACATGTTCCAGAATGCTGCAGCTGTATGAAAATTCCATCATCATTAACATACCAAGAGAACAAGTAGCAGCAAAACCCAAGCTGGTTACATCCTGTCCAGAAATATTTGCAAGAGAGCATGCTGCTTTCACAGCCGTGCAAATTGCAAGCCAAATATCAGTTGAAGATTGCTGGATACAAGAACATCCATGAGAGAATTTCAAATTTCTAAACTTTCTAAGTACGATAAAAGCAAAATTATGTATAAAAATTTCAGAATTTTCAATAACCTCAACACAATCACCATCTTTCCATATTTGTATGGGGCAACTAGAACATCCACAAAGGCGTCCACCATCATCAAAAATGCCTGCATTAATCAATCGAAAAAACACAACAATTGCAGTAAGCACTTATTGGAAATTCAAACAACTCGAAATCCAATTAACCAAACACAGATTCTAACTCTTCTGCAAATTCACACACAACAAAATACCCTACAAACTTAAAAGGTTCAACAAAATACTACCAGCACGAGCACTTCCAGTGCCGACATCAACGCCTAGATAAAAAGAGCCGGGACGGAGGTTCGCCGGAGATGATTGCGACGTCATTTCCATGGCGGACAAGCGGTGACGTTGGATTCGAAAGTCAACCAGTGCTTTGCCACGCCTCTGTTGTCAGCCAGACATTTGCGCTACATTTGATATCTCGTCCCCTTTTATAGTCTCACAAATTTGGACTTTTTACTTTTTTTTCAAAATTACATTATATAATTATACCTTTTCATTTTGAAAATTGTTATAAAAAATTAATATTTGATTTGTGCTATAGACAAAAAATAAAATAAAATCAATGTAATATTTTTAAAAAATAAAATAATACTACTAAACTTTCAACATTGTAATTTAAACAAAGTTAATCGAGATATGTTTTTGATATTTCATACTCTCTCTTGCCGTCTCAAGTATTGTGTCAGTGTTATATATAGACGCAAAAATTTAGAAAAAGTATGATTAATTAGTAATTTAAAATGTATTATTAAAATTAATTAAAATATAATACAAATAAGTATAGATTAAAGTTGATTATTTTTATTATATAATAGTTATTTTTACTAATATATTTTTTAATTATTTACTAATTATATTATTTATTGTAACGCGGGCATTTTTAATAAAACGGATTATGTATGATGAAAATTGTTTGATATTAAAAATTTATATATAAAATAATAATTAATAATATTTTGTTTGATTTTGTTTTAAAATGGAGTGTTTAATTTGAATTTTGATTTAAATGATATTTTGATATGATATTTTATAAGAAAAAAATAATACTATAATTTTACCCTAAACATGTGCATGTTGAATAATGTTTATTTATGTTTAAAAAGATACAAATTTTATTTTTAAAAATTTATATTATGTTTATTATTTATTAATTTAATATGGGTTTGTTTCCCAATAATTTTTTCTTAACATGATTCCTAATGAGTATTAATAAAATAATAGAAAAATACAGTATATACATACATCTAAATAATATAAATCATAAATATTTTTTCGTTATTTAATTATCTATCTATTCTTCTATTTTAATTCGTTCTAAAACAAAATATATTATTTTAGTAACCCTATTACCTACCTACTATTAAAATTACTCTTAAACTTACACTATATTACAAATAAACCATAACAATAAATTTTTATCTTAGAGGACATTATTCCTACTATACCCCATATTAGTAATCCTAAAACTTCATGCAAAAAACAAAACAGATAGATAGATATGAGACGGAGTGAGTACATTTTTATAAAAAGATAATGATTCAACAAAAAATATTAATTTTTATATTATCGACACAATTCACACGTACCTCATAACAAAACAAAACAAAAAAACCTCATACTAAACCAATATACCGAAAATACCGTACACCGTTTTTATATTTTGATGTTTCGTATGTAAAGATAATTGAGTATATTAATACCAAACTTATTATTTTCATTTTTTTTCTAAATTATAAAATAATTTTTAATTTCGATGTTTCGCAATGAATCAGTAAGTGGCTTGATTTATTATGTGCTAAATCAGGTATAACTAGACATAAGACAGTTCCCTATATACCCCAGTAGAATGGGGTGGCAAAACGAATGAATCGAAGTCTTATCGAAAGGGTGAGGAGCATGTTAAACTCCCCAGGTATTTCAAAGAGTTTTTGGGGGAAGCTATGATTACGGTTATATATTTGATTAATAGGTCTTTTTCTGTGCCACTTGGAGGAAAAATGTCCTAAATATGTATGGTCGGGTAAGGAACTTGATCTTTCCAATTTTAAAGTATTTGATTGTGCTGCATATGTTTTATATAAAGGTGATAAACTTGAACCTAAAACTATTAAACCCCATTTTCTTAGGTTATCCTTTAGGAGTAAAAGGATATAGGATGTAATTAAAAGATGAACCAGGTTTTAAGGTACTAATTAGTAGAGATGTCACCTTTAATGAAAATGATGTCTGAATATGCCAAATCCTGAAATTAACTTGACTTCTAATGTGGTGGAGCCAAATAAGGTGGAGCTAAATAAATTGGAAAATTCTGAAATACTACACGACAAATCTGATTCTCATGATAAGTTGCCTGCAAATGTCTTATCTAATATTGATAATTCTGAATCAGAATATGAAAATATAGAAAACTACCAACTTAAGAGAGATAGGACTAAGAGAACCACTAAACAACCGTCTAAATATGATGAATACGACTTGACTTTCTATGCTTTTAGTGTGTTTGAGACGTTAGATGGAAATGAACCTAAGTTCTATGAAGAAGCTTTTAAATTTAAACATGCTGAAAATTGGCTAAATGCAATGCGTGATGAAATGAATTCTTTTCATGTTAACAATACGTGGATTCTTGTTCCTAAGCCTACTAATTGTTCTATTGTTGACTGCAAATGGATTTTCAAAATCAAAAATGAAAATGATAATGTTAGATTTAAATATAGGTTGGGAACATAATGGTTCACTCAAAAGAAAGAGATTGGTTACACTGAAATATTCTCACATATAGTCAAATATACTACTGTCAGGATAATGCTTGCATTAGTTGCTCATTAATTGAGAATTGAAATAAATTGATAAATCCCCTACAATACAAGCAACAGAATTTTGTACAACTAATAATAGTCCAATATCAAATTATAAAATAATAAATTATTATGAATAAATAACAATTTAAATATTAAATTATAACAAAATAATATGCTACAAAACTTACATGTTTTTATTTTATTTTAATCTATTTTTTTAAAAGAAGCAAATATTCAAGCATGTCAATGTGGCACTATAAATTACATACAATAAATTAAAAGTTGTAAATTATATTCGATAACATACAATCAAAGCAAAACAAGGCGGACACTCTACAATGCTAAAAATTGTCTTATAAATGATAATCTGGTGGTGTTGGGATGGATTCGTGACCCTGAGGTCATGAGTTCAAACCCTGATGCTTTCAGGTCTTGTCTGTTACATATAGTTCGTCTAGTGTGACTTGTCTTATCGGACCTAGTTTACAAGCTATTAGATTAGGTTGGGGGGTTTATCTAGGGCGCATCTCAAAGGTAGCGGTTGCAGATTCCCACGTTATAAACAAAAATAAAAATAAATAACATCAAAATTTTTACAATCAATTTTTCTAAACTATCTAATTTGGATACAATAATTTTTTTTTTTAGTAATTTGAGTTAAAAAATATATAAAAAGTTGAGTGCACTCCGAAAGCCGATGGCTATTGGTGGTGGCAAGATAAAAGAAAAAACAAAAGAAAATAATTCATCCATGATTTTTGACAAGTCGGGTAGAACAAATAGATTATTGAAAGTTATATTTTGTGGATTATAATTAATTGGCAAGTTGAATTGCGATCTTGCTTGAAAATAATAATAATAATAAAAAAATCCACAAATACTTATGAATACGAAAGAAGAATGTGAAAATAGTTACAAATTAGAATTTTGTGTAACATATTTTTCTCAAATCAAAGTTTCGATTGACGATCGAGGAACGCATTGCAGAAGAGATTTCTCCAAAATCAAAGCTCTCACGAACAATTCGAACACCAAGAATTGAGAACCGTGTTGAGAATGTTGTGTCAAAATATCAATTAGATCCCAAAATAAACTCATTCGCACCATTAAAAATAAAAGTTCTCAAACGTTCTTGGCGTCTCACAACCTTTTTTGTTTCTTGATGATAGTTGCTTCACCTTGTCTTATTTATAAACTTAATGTATAATACTTTTTCCTTAATTATCTCAACTAATAAGATTTAAATTTGAAATATAGAAATATATAAATAAAAATATATATAGATATATAGATATTCTTTCCTTAATTATTTAAATTTGTTTATTGTATCTTAAACTGATATAATCTATTAATTTAATATTAGTAATATATATTTATTTATGTGAATTTCATTCAATATTTACAAAAATCATAGAAATATATGTGACAATCAACATATTGCAAAAGAATTTTTTATTTATGCCCCAATTTTGAATAGTCATGAAAAATATTAAATGACAATATTTGTAACACGTAAAAATATTACAAAGGTTTATTTATTTTAAAAAGTTGCAAATAAGTTTCCCCGAGGAAAAAAACATTGTGAATATTTTCATTACTTAATTGTAACTTCAAATAGTCACAAAATATATACTATGATTGTGCGAGAAACAATTCAAATTGTTGCCAAATTCGGTGACATTTTGTGATACTCCGGCCAACAAGTCATGCAAGGCCGGACGTGTCGGGATCATAGAATGACTCCACAGGTGAACACGAGTCCTCTCAGCGCACTTTGTCCTCACTCGCGCGCATCCTGAGAGACTTTTCAGGGGTCACCCATCCTCAAATTACTCAAGAGTTAGTTTTTTTTTAGTAAGGTTTCCTAAAAGGAATATGCACATTATTAATATGAGTAGTCTATTCAATCTATTTAACATATATTTAACCTTGGATGGCTTGACACCGGTTCATCCACGGTGGCCTAGCACCGACCCAACTCCGGAGGTATTACACATTTATTGTAACAAGTCAAATTTATCGGAATTCTATTGAAATAAGAACATTGTAATATAATTATTGTGTAGATATCATTACTTATGCCGTGATTTTAAATAGTCACGGAATAAATTCCATGACCATATTAGTAAGAAAAAAATATTGTACATATTTCTGTTACTGTATTTTTATTACTTTAAACAATTGTCAATATAATTAATCCGTGACAATGAAAAAGTTGCGAATATTTCCATTTTTTATGTTATAGCTTTAAATAGTCATGAAATATATTTGTAACAAAAGAAGATGGTGTAGATATTTTTGTTACTTGTATTGCAATTTAATTTAATCTTGAACAATTCCGTGACAATTTGTGTCATAAATCATATTTATCGTCATTTGTTTGCAACAAAATCTATGAGATATAAATACTAGAAATATTTTTGTGACTTATGTCGCTACTTTAAATAGTCACGGAAAATAGTTTATGACTTTTTCTACAATTATTTTGACACTGAATAGTCCGAATAAATAAGTTATGACATAATATTGTCACAAATTTGTTGTCCATGACTTTTCATTGTAGCGAAATTTAAATATGTAACAATTCTCTTTGACTATTGGACTGTTTTCTAGTAGTGTTTTTTTAGAAGAGATATAGAAATAAAAGGGAGTAAGTCATACATGATTTATGATATTGTATGTTATGTAATTAATTAAATTAATTTATATTTGTTAAGTATATTTTAATTTAATAAGTTTTAGAAATATGTCAATTGTTATGACATACAAAACTAGAAACTGAGTCAATTGTTATACGACAGATGAAATACATATGTAATAATGAATATTGTTTTAAAAATATTTTTTTTTCATACAAATATTATGAGAAAAATATAATTTTCTGATTCTTACATTCCGTAAAATAAAAAGAACTATCCTTGAAACCTCATTTATATTTAAACAAATAAATTTGATATAATTAAAGAAAAAAAAAATCATGTTCCTAAAAGAAGTTTAACAATACGTATCGATAGAAGAAAAAAATAATGATCCACTCATTCAAATGAAAATTTTAGACTCTGTGTAGAGAGACAATTTTGGAATTTTGAAGTTTTGGAAAAATTTAAATTTAAATTTAAAAGTTTTGAATTGAAAAAAAAAATTCAAATTAAAATGTGTTTAGGTAAAATTTTTAGAGATGTTTGAATAATTTTCTTTTTATTGTACTCCCTATATCCCATATAAAGAGTAACATTTACTTTGAATAGTTTTCTTTTTATTGTACTCCCCATATCCCATATAAAGAGTAACATTTACTTTTTGCACGTATATTTTTGAATACTAGTATTATATTGAGTTATAGTAAAAAAGACGAAAATGTATTTGTGTAATATATTATAAGTTGGAAGAACATTTATTATGTTAGGTAGGTACTACAATTACTAAATTAGAAATAGTATCTTTGTTTTGGGACGGACGAAAATGAAAAATAGAACCATGTGACAAAAGGAGTAATATAAATAATGTTCTTGATGATATAAAAATAAAATATTTATTTAATATATTTGATATAAAATTAAATAAATTTGATTATATATATATTAATATAAATATAATCAATATATATTATTTTATAAAAAATAAATATTTCTTAAACACAAAATTTTAAAATTAAAAGTATAACATTTTTATTACTATAGAATAAATTTAAATAATATAGAGTATATGTAAGAGTAATAAAAATTACAAATATTTTGTTATATTTATATTTTATAATATAATATATTAAATATATTATTAGTGTTAAGTCTAAATTATTTGAATGAGATTCACCTCAGTAATATGAAGTAAAGATTTTGAAAACTTAGGCTAGAATTTATATCGTGAATTAAAAACAGCTTCAATCCCAAAGTGATTTATCTAAACAAAGTCTTAAAAATAGAAAAATTATTTTATAAATTTGTGATGATATTTCAAATGCATTTTGGAATAGGAAAAAAATAACATATTATTCAACTTCCATATGATATTATTTTATAGAAAAGAAATATTACAATAAAAACTAGACCAATTCAAATGAACCATGAATTATTACAAATATATAAAAAAATTTTCAAAGGGTTTGTTTGTTTAGTGTTATGATTTGTAGGATTTTTTTTAATGTAAAATATAAAAAATAGTGTCGGTAATATAAAATATAATATTTTATATTGAAGATTGACTTTTGTGAGTGTATTATATATATATTGAGAATAATATAAAAAAAATGCGATGTTCAGATATTAGCTATTAATTACAAACTCTTTAACAATGTTTTTTAATGGATTATATATCCTATTTCAAATAAAATAAATTTATTTAATATGTTATATGATGTAAAAATATTTTAAAATTTTGATTTGAAATTTGAATATTAACAAATTTAAATAATAAAGGAAGATATATATAAAACTTTTTACAGCTTCTTTAATAGATGAAATATAATGTCTTTCAAATTAAAAAATAAATGTTCATTTTAAACATCAACAAATAATGAATAATATTTTCAATTTCTACCATATTTTTACAATAGTATATATATAGATGATGTTCCAATCTTTTGCAAAAAATTTAAATTTTATTTTGATTTATTCTATTGTTTCTTTGTATGGTAACAAAATTTCAACAAATCAATTAATTTATTTTGAATTTGAAGACTTATTTTAAAACAACAATTATTGTGATTTCTTTAACTAACTTATTTTTATAATTATAATGTTATTCGATATATTTATATATTTTGTGTATTTGTAATTTTTTTGGTATGTTGAGATTAAATACTTGTTGAATAAAATATTTTGTATACATATATAATTTGAATATAATATATTAAAAAATTAAAATTAAATAACAAAAAAAGGTTGCAAAGAAAATATGCCAAGATAACCACATGGAAAAATGAGAAAATAACCAAACAGTTCGACTGGGCTGGGCTGGGCTGGGCCGGGCCGGGGCTGTGTGCGAAAAAGTATACTGAGGTCGAGCCCAACAAAAATATTTAATTCAGCACGCATTCAACCGCTGAGCTCCAGCTGTTCTGCCATGGAGTCACCACCGCCTGGGCCTGGACGATCTCCACAGTAGAGTAGAGGTGCGCGATGCAAATTGCAATTATAGGCTTTGGGGGTAACTTTCGACAGGTGGCCCCGCCTCGTTCGATACAGCGCACCGCCAATTTGCCTGCGTCAATGTCAATGCTCCGACCCGCTTGCTGAAGCAACAGACCGACCCTTTTGTTTTGATGTCGATTTCATGTTCCATGATCTGATTAAGAGAACCCCTCCTCGTATATTCTCGTGCTTGTCCGTTGCCCTCTCCCAATTTCGTGTTTTTTCTTCTCTTTTTTTGTTTTTCCGGTGAGGATTTTGGCAATCACAAACCCTATTCCCGCCCCTCCACGGGGCACCGTTGTCTCGCATTGATTGCGTGGAATTCGACCGGAAAAATCTGTTTGGGGATGTTCCTTTCTGAAGTCTCGTGGGACTTACGAGTATGAAATTTGATGAAAAGAAGGAAGAAAGCGTGATCGAGAGCTCTTAAAAGGATGTGGTTTTCCTTTTGGAGATCCCGGGATAGATTTTCTTTGGATGAACTCAGGTAGTTGTTATATACGTTTTCTATAGTTCTGGATGTATTTATGGCTGGCGTTTAATCTTTGGCCTCTGCGATTTTGAGTATGAATGACTTTAGATTAGTAATTATCGAGCTGGATGCATATACTGACTGATTGCATCTTCAGTTTGGATAGACTATCATAATTTAATCTTCACATAGTTATGTTAGAAGTGCCCTAGTGGTTTAAATTGTAATCTTTCTGATCTCTGTTTGGGTTTTCTAGAATGTTTATGTAATATACTAGGCAAACATCCAATTGGATATGCGTTTCATCGACTGTATTTATTGATATTTACGGTAAAGATTAATTAGTGTACATCAGGGAGAGAGGAAGAACATTTGATAAAACGTAAGCTTGTTGCTTGTTGTGAGCAATAAAGTAGAGCTTAATAATGCAACTAATGCTGTCAAATGAAATCCAGACAATTAAATCCGTAGTTTCTTCTTGATGTGTTCCCTCTTTTATAAAGATTCCTATTACTGATGTTGTAGATGTTTTTCATCTTATGTTTTGGAGTTCTGTAAGGATATTTATTTTTCTTGATCACCATTCTGTGGTGTATCCCAGTTTAGGACAGTTCTCTATCAGTTATAGCTCTCTGGCATACTGTTTACCTTTGCAATTTCATACAGACATCCTGAACTCTTTGTACTGTACTGCTGTAGACTTATTGTAATTCTTTTATGGAATACTTTGAGCTTGGCCTTTGCTGGAAGTTTTAACATTGAATTAATTAGTTCAGTTGTGATTGCTCCTAGATCCCTGGCAGGACTCCAATAGTGAATCACATCAATCTAAAAAGTTTGTATGTATTATTTTTTGTTTATCTAGGTTCACAGTTCTACTTTCTACTGTTAAATTGAGAAAAAGTTGATGAACAATCAGAGATCTATTGGTTTTAATTGCTTGAACGCAATCAGATGGAGAGCGATAGTTGCGTCTTAATAGTAGATGTGAAACTCTACTCTTCCTGAAGATTTTTGAAGTCTTTATGGTATATAGATGTCTGATAGAAACATCGTTTTTGCCTCTGGCCTTCTTTATGAAGTGACCAGTCTTTTAGTGATAAATCATTCATCATTTCTAACAGCCGATAACTGAACTGATAACAGAAGTTTCCATATTTCCTGTTTTATTCATCAGTCTGGCCAGACAAATGCTTAGCCCTGCAGATGATTGCGGAATGTTTTCCCATTAATGAATTATTTATTTAAATGTTTTCAGAATATACTTATATATATGTATAATGAATAGATGATGTGATGATACGTTGTCAGAGTATTGTGTACATATAGTGTAGATTATGAGTGAACGTGAACATGAATCAATATGAAAATAGCTTATTCAGGAGATTTTAGTTTATTGAATAACTTTTAGCTATTTGACTAGTCAAATGACTAATTTTAGTGTTTGGTAAACTAGGTATTTAAAAGAGCTTATTAGAGTTTGAAAGCTAATTTTTGAAACACAATGGGTTTGTTCACATTGTGTTTTTCGGTAGCACAATTTTTCGTAAAAATTATTAAAAAATATAAACATATATATACATTAACACAATATGTATAATATATACACTTTATCCATTCACCAAAAGTTACCAATTCAAATATTGCCGACACAATTCCCCATACCTAACATAAAGAAGCAAATATATCCAATTGGTGTGTTTACTTGAGGGATTTTGTAATGATTTTACTATTTCAATTTTTTATTCAAAAAAAAATCAAATCAAATACCTATTTTTTTTATTTATTATATTAGATTAAAATTTAATTTTACATTAAAAAACTCGCATCAATATATATATTTATATCACATTAAACAATTATTTTAATTCAAAATTTCACTATTCAAAACCATATATAGTGTTTTACATTTTTGATCCTTTTTTTTTTTTTTTTTTTTTTTTTTCTCTTTTATTTGCCTTTACACCTTAGCTTGTCCTTGTACTACATTATGCATAATGTAAATTATTTTACTTGTAAAATATATACATTTATTTAAATACTCCCTCCGTCCCAAACACCGTACAACATTTTCTTTTTGGTATGTCCTAAACATCCTGCAATATTTTCAAAATAGGAAATAATTAATTATACTTAATCTCTACCCCACACTTTATCTCATCCCATCACACAAATAAAAATAATAAAATATATATTTCTCTCTCCATCATATCACCTAATTTCTAAATTATCCTACTTAATACTACTCATCTAAAAATCCGTGCCCAAAACAAATGTTGCACCTTGTTTGGGACGGAGGGAGTACTATTTAATGTATTTATATTTTTGTAGATGGAAATTATTTTATTTGTAAAATATAAATTTATTAAAATACTATTCCCTCTGCCCAATTATTTTAATGAATTTGATTGTGATATAAAGTAAGAGTATTTTATGAAGTATAGTTGAACTAATGAAATGAGAGAAAATTTTAGATAAATTGAGTGTGTAGAAGGTTGTGGCATATTTGTAAATAAGTGTAATGTTAAGGGTATAGATTAAGGAGTGTGTAAAATTTTTTTAGGAAATGTTGTAGAACTGTTCATCTAGACCCAAGGGGGCTTCCCGACAGTAAAAGATATATATTTTTTGTGGACAAACAAAAAAAGTAAACAGACATAGGGAGTACTAACTTATTATTTATAGAATTTTTTATCATATAAAATTTTCCTTAAAAATAATTAAAATAAAATAAATTTATTTAATATTATAATTTAAGTAAAACAATAAGTTAATCAACATATAATATATATATATATGAAAATTATAAAAATAAAATAATTGTCATTTCATGTATAAACAATTAATAGAGAATAATAATTGGAATTTTTTTTGCATTTTAAGTTAAAGATTCGTTTATTTCGAGATAAAATGTTGTTTGGCTATTTAGGTATTCTATGTGATTTTGAGTTTTGAGGGAGACAAATCAAAGTGATGAATTTCATATACAATCAAACTTCTCATCCTGTATCATGTCCTTTGTTATATGTCTGGTGTAAGGATGTTAAAGACTAAGGGTGTGGTTGTGTTTGTGTTTTGTGTGTGTGTTCATGTTTTTTGTGTGTGATTGTGTTTTGAGTTTTGTATTTTAGTAGTGTTCAGATGTGATGTTTTGTGGGAAAATATAATTGATTTTTATTGGAAATCGTGGGGATTGCATAGTAACTGCATTATAAAATTTCTATTAAATGAATATCGTAAGAACAAAGCCATATCATTCTCTATTTATTTATCTCTATTTTTTGCTGGAAATAAATTGCTATAAAATTTCCATAAAATGAATAAAGTTATTATCTTATATAAGAGTGAATAAAATATTTAAAATAAGTGAACACCAGTAAACTTAAGTTGAACCTTAGCACTACCTGAGTTTATAAAAAAATTAAGAACTTAGTAAACATAAGCTATAATGCATGAAGTGAAACCAGTAGAGCACTGTTGTCACGGTGTCGCCATGGCATCCCGGTGCTTTTTTGGGAGCGCCGGGACACTTTGCTTCGCCATATTAAACAAAGCGGCTTGGGTCAGCCTTAGCGACACCCTGGCGATGCCATGGCACTGGGCAGGCTAGCCCAGAGCGTTGTAAGTCTCCAGCCCAGCCCAGGCCCCCAAGCCGCATCGACCTCAACCCGTAAACCTTGAAACCGATTGAACCTAACTTGTCATCCTCTCTCCCCCCCACTCTTCTCTACTCTCTCCTGCTATCACTGCGGTTGTCCACTGGGTACAACCGCTTCATCCCATGGCGCACAAATGCCCTCCTCTACTCTCTCTTGTTATCTATTTAGGGCTATTTTTAATTTTTTTAATACTATTATAGTATTAGCAGTTAGTGTATTACATTATTATTTATTTTATAGTTATCTATTTTTAATCTTGAAATCAACTTTTTATTTTTGTTTGTCAGTCCTTTTGTATTTTCTTAACATGTTACTATAAAATTAATTATAGAAATTAATTTCATATAAGATATATATGTTTCATTTTATATATGTTTCAAATTTGCTTCTTGGTTGAAAAGCCCACAGCATGCACTGTAGCTTTATGGAAACTTTTTCCACAGCATCAACCACAATTCATTTGTATGCAACTCTTTAAACTTTTGATTATCTAAGATTTAGAAAAATTCTTTGCCACCTTCAATTACAGATTTTTAATTGATCAACTGATGAAAGTTCAACTTGTGAATGAGGTCAACAAGGTAACAAATTTTCATGCCATTTCTGTTTTCCTATATTGTTTACATGCCTATTATGAACGTTTGACTTCACTTCATCTTTGTTCAGGATTTTGTGATTGAGGCTTTGAGATCTATTGCAGAGTTGATAACCTATGGTGACCAACATGATCCTACCTATTTTGAGTGAGATATCACCTCTTGTCTTTATTGTGGTTATATATTGAATTACACATACACACTAAATATTCAAGTATGTATTGCATTACTTCTAATTCCTTTATAGATTATTTATGGAGAAACAGGTCATGGGTGAGTTTGTACGAATATTAAAAATTAGTAGAATCCAAGTTATCTCACTCCAGCTGTTGCAGACAATGAGTATAATGATCCAGAACCTAAAATGTGAACATTCCATATGTAAGTGCGATACTACATAGTATTATCCTAATTTGAGCAACATGCCATTTTTATCTTGCACCTGCTTTGCTATCTGAGATAATCCCTATTTGGATATTCTGCAGATTATATGTTTAGCAACGAGCATGTTAACTATCTCATATCTTATCAATTTGACTTCCGAAATGAGGAGCTGTTATCTTACTACATATCCTTTCTGAGGTTTGCTCCATAATCACCTGTTTCATGCTGATCTTATCATTGTAAATGATACATTATTTACTTGGTTGTATTGCTCTGCAAATTGCCTTCCTGATATTGGTGTTTTGAACTACTTATGGACTCGATAGGGCAATAAGTGGAAAACTGAACAAAGATACAATTTCTCTCCTTTTCAAGACACAAGATGTAAGTTTCTTCCTTCTTTCAATAACCTTTAGTATGCTTGTAATTAAATTGGAATTTCGTTACTTCTTTTATCTACTTATGTTATATATAAATTCAAATGTCTAAGCTCTCCTTACAAATCGCTACAAATGCATCATTGTGATGGCATAACTTGCTCTTTGAAACATATTTTCCAACTTTGGCGACCCAGAAACCATACTTGTTAGTGGTCTAGTCCCGGTAACTGCATATGGTTACTATAGACGAGTCATTTTATCATGCTTTTTGCTTCTTATTGTCGTTATGTTTCAAGGAGTTTATGCAGTCACAGTGTTTGTTTTTAGTTGTGGTTCATATAGATTATGTATCTATTGTGGTTTGTGAATTGATAATCTGAAGGCTTGTTTTCTACAGTAGATATACACACATGTAGATGATCCCCATGGGCTTGGACCTACTACTACGTAACACTCTCCTTCAACTTGGAGCATATAAATAACAACATAGGAAATCTTGGGGCAAGTAAGATAATTAAACTTACCGACTAATTGTCGATAGCCAATATTAGGCTCCCGATGATAAATAAGAATATTAGACTTAAAAATTCCATAGTAGTCTATAGGTTTACAGTCTCTCATGTGTATTTCTAACATATCCTGAGGCATACTTTCATTGTTAAACCACATTACCATCACATGATAGAGCGATTACAATGCCATGAAAATATCTAAGGGATCCAAATCCTTACTTTGAAAGTCCTGGAATAAATATCATTTTAGTGCACTTATTGCACCTTGATAATTGCAAGTAATGACAATTTCATCAATAATTACAATAGGATATAAATGTGGAGTTGGTTTGGGAGACACAAGCAATGGGACCTTACAAGTACAAGACAATGGTAACTCACTGCTTAGATACGTAGTACTAAGGGATGCTTCATATTCAGGTTCACTGATTAGCATAAAAGAAAGAAAGAGTTCTGAGTAAGGCTGAGGCAAATCAACATGAGCTACATTAGTCCAAGTAGAGCGCCTATGTAACTTATAGCATCGCTCTTTGGTAAGACTCCATGGATTGCAGTACTACAATGGGATGAGGGCTGTCACCCCGAGTAGTACGCGGCTATCGTGGACATCCTTGGGATAAAGGGTAGATGTCAAGGTAGAGTTGCCACAATTTGTACTAGAATCTAGAAATGTTACAAAGGCAACATGGAATAGTCATATATAAATATCATAATAATGTCACAGCCGAGCTTGATAAGATTTCATCATGAACCTAAGAAACTTTAGGTTGAAGACTATCAATTATACCAAAAACATGTCATGCGGTTTAAGTTATTCAAATGCAAACTTGCCTGGTGGAAGAACGCCATTAAAGTCGGCCTTTATAGACAATATTCATCCTGACAATTCTGGCATAGACATGGTAGTCTGGTGATGATGCAACAGGTTAGAGACACTATATAAGCAATGAATATTGTTAGTATATAGTAATGGAACTTGTCTCCATAATTTTTAGGAGATGGTGAATGCAACGAAACATCTATGGATTGCAAAAGTTGTTATGCACACAAGTCACAACAATCAGCGGCTTTTAGCCATGCAACCACATATTTAGGATTGACATACTCCAATGGTGTAGTAAGATGCTTCATCAAGTCTTGCCCTCTGCACCACATCTTAATGGTTTTTGACCAAGAGGAATAATATGAATTACCCAATAATTTCTTGGTAGCGATAGTGTATGTTGGAGTAATGATGGCCGAAGACAATGAAGAGGCCATGTAACGCTGTGAAGAAGCCAAAAAGAAAAAAAAAAGGGACTTGAACTCTGGAAGTAATTGATACAGCAGGTTGTTATTCAATGATCATGCAACCTAATGCCCACAACTGATAGAATAATTAAACCAATTGGGCAATTGGTAAAGTAAGGAAAAGGGCATGAAGAAATGTGGCCGCTCCAACATAGCTATAGAGAACCTTGGTAGACAAAACATGAAGATCACTGCAGTATAGTGTGGTGGCAGCAACGGCGGCGCATTGAGAGGATAGCAACGCGGCACACGGAGGGGCTAGCAATGGCGGCATGCAGTGATTGGTCATGAGTTGGGAAATCACACTGCTTGGAAAGGAACTGGGTTGACCCCTTCTGATACCATGTGAATTGATACATACAATATATATGTATATACATACGTATAGATAAGCTCAATGAGCTTTGCAGTGATTGGTCATGAGTTGGGAAATCACACTGCTTGGAAAGGAACTGGGTTGACCCCTTCTGATATCATGTGAGTTGATACATACAATATATATGTATATACATACATATAGATAAGCTCAATGAGCTTAGCGGTACTACTATCTAATATGTTTTATGTAGTTTTAAATTCTTATAATCAGTTTTACCGAACTTGAGGTTTCGGCCAGAAAAAAACACTCTTGCTTTCAAAATCTTATTCTCCAAAAGAAAAGATGAGCCCCAACCTTGATACCTAGCTTATTATAGATGCCACAGTAATTCTAGTAAGTTAAAATGCTAATCCTATTCTGAGTATAAATATCAAAATTAAGTCTAAGAAGACATAGTCCAGGATTGTACCCCACCCATATCTATCACATCAACTTGTTCCCACTCTGGAACAGCCTTGACCTCAAGACTGAAGTTTGGAGACTACCATTGGAAGAGTGACGAGGATTCTGTTCTTGCTTGGAGATATTTTTTTTTCGTTCTTGCCAATAGCATCCATTGTATCGTCCTTTAACTACAGGTCTTGGGGGTTATCATCATCAACTAGCAGCAGAGTTGATGTGTTTCTGCAGCCACACATTCAAGTAGTTAAAAGAACCTTTGCACCAATAACTCAATCTATGGTGTCTCAGATACTGTTTCTCCTATGTCGCCACTCCCCCTAGGTCATTATTTTTTAGCTTTGAACTGATGGGTTTCATGATGTTACTTTATTATTATTTACTAATAGTATTTGGCAAGAAAAGATTTATTTCACATTGTCATGGTGAAATCATAGATTACATTACATGGTAGGAATTTGGAAAGAAGAGAGAATTATTTCTTGGTGAAATCATAGATTACATGATATGGTACGAATTTGGAGAAAAAAGAGTATTATTTCATGGTGAAATCATAGGTTAAATGACATGGTAGGAATTAAACAACCTTTAATCCCTGCGAAGATCCTAGAAAGGTTATATCATTACTGTGTTTTCTGGCTTTGTTGATTTTCCATGTTACTGAAAAGGTAAATTGGGATCCTAACCGATGCTTGTTTTCTATAGCATAATAAAAATCTACGATGCAATTTAATTTATGCTCTTTTTTCCCCCTGCACTCTGGCTTATTTCTACGTATTTTGGCTATTTAGGATGAAGTTGTCTCATTCCCCTTGTATGTCGAGGCAATACGGTTTGCCTTCCATGAAGAAAGTATGATTCGAACTGCTGTGCGAGCTTTAACTTTGAATGTCTATCATGGTGAGTTCTTTTTAGGTCCTTTAATCTTGAATCCTCTGATCTAATTTTTTGTGGTTTTATACCCTGACAGCCTGGAATGTTTTACTATATGTCTCATGATGATTTGTAGTTGGAGATGATGCTGTAAACAATTTTGTATCGAAGGTCCCTCATACGGATTATTTTGTGAATTTGGTCAAATTTTTCAGAGATCAGTGTATCCATTTGAACCAAGTAGTTTCAAATGCTTCAAAGTAAGATCTGGAATTTTTTACCTACCCAAAATGACTTTCTTCACAAAGTTCTTTCTGACATAAATTAAGTTTTACCTGACAGGAATACAAGTATTGAATCCACTTCACCTGTTCTTTCTTCTGTGGATGAGATTGAAGATAATCTCTATTACTTTAGTGATGTTGTTTCTGCTGGAATTCCTGATGTTGGGAGGATAATAATGGACAACGTTTTGAAGCTTTTGGTAGTCCCTATTATTCTTCCTTCCTTGAGGATTGGGTCACTCAATGTATGCAGATCCTCTGGTCCATTTCTTTGTATTATGCTGTGTATTTCTGTTTATATTTTACATGATTTACTATGTTTTTACATAATTTTAAGTGACCATGTTTTGTCGTACTTATAGGAACATGGGCTTGGTGCTGTTACCTCTTTATATTTGCTTTGTTGCATTTTGCGCATTCTCAAAATCAAAGATCTGGCAAACATTGTTGCAACTGCCCTTCTATGTTCTCCACCAACCTTCTCTGAAAATTCTGAAGCTAAGCTCAATGGCAATATGTTGGACCAAGGTTCTTCAGATGCCCAAAACCATGAATCGTGCAGGGATGAACATAGTTCAGAGGCAAATTATGAAAGATCTCAAGCTAGTGTTATTTCATCTAGCTCTTCTCAAAACTATCGACCATCTTCCATTCTGGTTCACGATTGTCATAATGCATACTTAGCTCCAAGGTAGTTTTATCTATCATATTAATTTCATCCTTAAAATAACTTTAAAGTTTGTGTACAGTTACTTTTTCTCACCTTATTATATCTTGTTAACTAGCTTAATTTGTTGATAGTTAATTTTCTGAAATGAGCAAATGATCTCTTATCAATTTCTGTTATTATTATTATTATTATAATTATTATTATTTTGACAGCTAATCATTTTTTGAATTTCTTTTTATTTTTAATAGCTATCTGCAATCAATGTTTGAAGACACATTTTTATAATAGGCATGCCTGTACTTCCATTTTACATTTACTGTTTTACATTATATATTGCTACAAGATGCTTTGATTTAAACTGCGTCACTTGAGTAAAGAAAATATCTCATTTCTTTTCCATGCTTCTGCCCTTTAAGAAGAAAATTGAATTGGTGCCAAAGGGTATGCCTTTTGTTAATACATCAAAGGAAATTAAAGAAAGAGAAAGATATATAGGAATTACTTGCTGTCCTAAAAGCATATATTCCCTGTTCCAAGCCATCAGGCCAAAATGGCAAACAGTCTTATGATTATACATTCCAAATTCCCTAAATTACTATTTATAAAGATATCGGACCTTAAAGTAGTTCCACTATGCATATCTTACACCGAAAGATTTGTATTAGGCTTAGCATATTATTAATCATAGACATCTCCATTCAATCATTTTATTCATATTGTTAAATAGCCTAATGAGCTTTAGGCATAATGGTACTTTCTATAGTTCACTTGCTGTAGGAGATTCCAAAATGGTGTACCAAGTTGGGGTTTCTTTTGGATATGTAATGAAAAAGACAATAGATTATTCGTTTTGGAATATTAAAATATGGGGAGATGCTGGAATATTGTTGAATAAAATAAAGACACTGGCATTCAAGTAATTGAAATGTTTTATAGTATTATTGTATCTAAGATGCTGCTGATGATTATAAATAGCATCTGATATCATTTCTTTTCTTTTCACTTTTGTTTAACGATGAATGTTCTTGCTAAAATAGCAACGACTTTGTTGTGCCAAATAATTTACTGCATTGCTGAACAAGTTAACTTCAGTACTTAGAATCATTGTTACTAACTTTTAATTAAGTTCGACTATATTCTGCATATGCAAATTGTACAGGGAGGCTCTGCTCTCATTTATTTCCAGTGGAAACGATGTTCAAGTTTCAGGTTCATTATGTGTCCTGGCTACTTTATTGCAAACAAAAGGTAGTGCAACTCCCTTAATCTTGTTTTTCAGCTGTAAATTTTGGTCTGTGCCCTAAGTTGTTTTGTTAGCTGCAGAGCTTGATGAATTAATGGTTGATGCTCTTGGCATACTTCCGCAGCGGAAACAACATAAGAAGAAGCTTCTGGTATGTGGTTGTGACTTATTTCAATATTTTTGGGCAAACAGAAAAATGTAGAAACAATCTATTCGAAACACTTCAATATGTGTGGTTGTAACTTTCATCAGTTGATCAATGGGTGGAATGAATTTTCTCCCTGCTTAGGACTAGGCCTAAGGATGTATAATTAGGGTAGACCTATTGAGAGGAAGTTAGCTACAACTTTGGAAATGGATCGAGACGACAAGGGTAAACTTCATCAAGAGATGGAAAAATCTGTGCTGTTAAGTTAAAATTTAGAGTTTAGGCTTTCTAGAGATGTCACCATGATCAACTTCTCTCATTGCTTTGGCATTTCTTGAACATCCATGAATATTCAAATGAGAAGGAGAGAGTGTAGCTACTCGTATGATCATTTGGCTTTTTAGATCGGATCAATGAGTGCCTTCTCTTGGTTGGACTGAAAGATTTCAAGGGACATGTCATACACACTGATTATGTCAAGAATAAAGAAGCTTAACATAAGATCCATGGCTTCTTGCATGTGCCAACATGAGAGAAAAACATGAATATTACGTTCCATATCAAGATGTAGTAATTGAGCATTATATGCTTGCCAATTTCCATGATGCAGCAATAGTAGGAGGACCAGATTGAAGATAAGTGGTCTTTCTTTGTTATTTAAGGAACGACACTATATATTTAAATTTAAATCACAACAAATAGTTAGTTCCATTCAACTGTTGCTTTACTAATCAGAATCAAGGTTGGACCTTATGTTACCAGAATAGCAATGACAGAACAATATATGCTTTGGGCAGTAGCAATACAACGGCCTGAAATTGAAATGGAACTGTGAAGTTGAAATCAGTTGGAGTCCTAAAAAAGGACCATATTCAATCTCAGTGTTAAAAACCAGCTGAGCCACATTGCGATTGCTGGTGTGTCGCTCTCACATGCTGGCATGTGGAGAGGATTACAAAAACACTGCCAGAGGGATCATGGTCGCCAGAGTACACTGGTTTGGCAGGTAGGATTAATCTTGGGATTAAGGTCAAAGGGGAAGATTAAGTGAAGAAAATAGAAGGTGCAATGCAGGTTGAAGAAAAAACCCAATCTGTTTTGTTGGCATGTTGCAAGAGATGGAAAGGATGGTAGAAATACTATTTTATTCATTTATAGTCTACACTACATTTGCAGAAATATCTCTAGATAATCTGCATGATATGAAAAGACACATAAACAAAAGACTCTGGAGATGAAATGAACATACACCCTATCACCTAAGAATCTAACAATTAAATACTAATTAATATCTCCAACTTATATCTAACCAAGTGTATAATGTGGTTGATTGGAAAGAGGGAAAGTAGGACCTCCCGAAATTAAGTTGGTGATTTAAATTCTCGTTTGAAAATTAAAAGTAACAAAGAACTTATGGAATGCTCATCTGATGAATCATTCTTATCATATGTCTGACAAATTTAATCTCTTACGTGACCAGAAGTTACTTTTGGTTTGCTTTTATACACAGCTTTTCTCTTGTAATTTTTTATATAATTATGTGGTTAATGGTTGGTTACATAGGATGAGGCTCAAATTGATTGCATTATTCCTTAGCAGTATCTCTAAATTTGATTTAATATTCATAGTAGTAAAAGACTACCACAATGAATATGAATTGATCATGATCCAATAACTGTATCAATGTAGCTGTCATAATTGAGTCTAAGGTTCTTTTGAATCAGTTAACTGACCATCTGGATCGCACTTGCTGTCAGATTTATTTATTATAGTTCCTCGGGTATTGTGGGATTCAAATAGATTCTAGTTAGCATGTCATTGCTATTTTTTCTTTGGAACTATATTTCTGGTATCAATCAATGCTTTTACTCTGGCACAACACTATGCATCTGTGGCTATCCCTTAATGATTTCAAGTAATATGCCTCTTTTTGCATGCCTGCAGCAAGCCTTGGTTGGGGAAGATTCTGGGGAAGAACAACTTTTCTCATCACAAAGTAGTGGTGCTAGAAATGGAATCTGTAGTGACCTTGATATTTATCTGCAAAGGTTGAAGGTAAAGATGCCATTGCTTTTGTTTCTTGTCCATTCACTTCTAATTGTATTCTACCTGCACTCATCTATCCTGACCAAAGGCATTGAAGTTCAGATAGAAAGCATGCGTTCTTGATTAATTGTCCAAAAGTGATTTAAATAAAGAAAAAATTTGTTTACTAACTATCTCCTGTGTTTTGGAAAGTTTCACAGCCGTGTAAGATTCTAATTATATTTAGAGAATAGAACTTCAATGTTATTTTCTTTCTTTTTTCCTTTACCTCTTTTTTTTTTTTTTTTTTTTTTTTTTTTTTTTTTTTTTAATACAACGTTTGTAGCTTCTCTCTCTTGAATTTCAGTGAGTTAGCCTAGAAACTTTCCCTTTTTTTCCCTTCATGCACTTGATATGGTGATATCCTCTATTAAATTGAAAATCTGATTTTCTTAATGTCTTGAATGCATTTTGTCTCTGCTTCTATGGTTATTGTTCCATATTAAATTTTTCTTGACTATAGGGTAGTTGAGCACATTTAGTAATCAACTTGACCTCATGAATCATCAGCTAAACAAATTTGTAAGTTTGTTTGTTTATTTTAGTATCAAATTTCTTAACTTCTGAGTATGCTTTATTCTTCACTAATCAATTTTGTTGGTTGGATCAAATGTATTTTCTAGTTCTATAATCTTAATTCAAGCTAGTAATTCGAAATTCAGTATGTTTTTGTAAAATAAATGTACAGGATTACACTGGAGTTTCTTCTGGAGGCCTAGATGTTGGAGTGAGTCCTCGTATGCATAGATTTCAAGTATGTATTGATTACTTTCAATATGCCTGTGATTCATCTTTTTTCTCCATGTTTTTGGCTCATTGCATTCTATCCCCATTGTCCCATCTGGTGTTATATGTCTTGGCTATGATGCTGCACCTCTGATTTTAATATTCATTTGTAATTTCCTCATTTACTTTGTTTCAGTGATAGGGATAGGGTATCTTCCTGCAGAAGTTTTATTGAGGCTTTTGCAGTTTTGTGTTGTCATAGTTGGTAAAGGAATGAGTTTCAAATTGAATTTTCAAGGGATTGTATCGGCATGTATGAATGGGGGTGGGGTGAAAGTTATGCTTCCCGCTGGATGCCTAATATCTATATTTTGATTAAGCTATATCTGAGAAATGAAGCAGTGCTAAGGGGTGGGTGCTTGGACACTGTGGAACAGGATTTTTCCCATGACAGGCCCACTCGAAAATTATATCTGAGACAATTCTTTGTACCTATAACAATGTAGTTGTCCCAGTTGGATTTGCGCAACTTAAAGGAGGCAGGACAATGAATTGCATGAACAAATAATATGGTACCGATGATTATATAGATAATAATTGTAGTAGAGTTAGATTAGGATAGGGGATTATTACTCCTGTATGTGTGACTGCGTGTATAGCCTTACCTTGTGAAATACATAAAACTATTTTCATATATTTACATGGTATTAGAGCCATCCTATTTTGATTGCCTAATGGAAGGTTGGTTGGGTTGTGGAATTGAGTAGGATCTTGTAATTGGTTCAGTTTTTTATTTTGCATTCCAATTATAATTTTGAAACTATTTTGATGGCGTCTTGATTTAGTCAGTCTCTTCTTGATTTAGTCCAGTCTCTTCCCACGACCGTCGCCTATGTACTTGACGACCCCTAACCAGATGAACACTAGAGAGAAACTTTGCACAGCACTGTCCTGATGTTGTCCCGCTCTGTGCCTCTGCTGTCAGGCTTGTGTCCACTATCAGCTTCGTTGCTCCTTGCGTCTTATTGCCCAAATCACAGCCTGCCACTGTTTTCCTGTCACCGATTTTATTTGTTTTATCCTCTACCTGGGCATATTTGATCAGGATCTATTCAGCTCTGGTTCTGCTTAAATCTCCTCCAAGGTGTTCTGACTTGCTACGTTTCATTCAGATTTTGATTGGATCGCTTGTTCAAATCCCTTTGGTTTCTACATAGGGTTGCAATTGAGCATTGTTATGTACTTTGTTTTATTGGGTAGGGTTTGTGATCTATCTGATCGTGTGATTTGTTTTGCCTTCAGTTTGATTTGTGTGGGGTTTTTGATTTGGGTTATTGTTTCTTAATTGGGTAACTACTTGGTGATCTGTGATTGTGCGATTCGCTTTTCCACCCCAGTGTAGCCGTATGCTTGGCTGGAATTATGTTCCTGTTAGTGGTATGGTGTTCCTTGTTTCCTGATTGGTTTTTGTGGGCAGAGTCGATTTTTCCCTCATGTTCGTTTAGGCTTGTTCAGGTTTTGTTTGGTTAGGTTTTTTCTGGTGAACGCGTTGGGAAAGTTAGGGGCTTTAAGTATATTATTTCCCTATCTCCAACACACTTAAAGTAGAGTTAATAATAAATGAGCATATGGAATTATATGTTTTAATTATGTAGGTATTAACATCTTTATATAATTAATCATATAGTATGTGTTGGAAATCAGAATACATATTGGGACTGAAATCATTCTAGAGCTACAACAAGCGTGTGCCTCAAAGAGAATAAGTGACCTCTGTATCTAATATGTACACGTGACGTGAGTGAGACCTTCTCATCCCTGGAATACAATTTTAGAAATCCTAGAACATGATTGAACTGAATTATTGCTCTTTAGAGTGTGTGATTAGCATTTAGTAACTAGTGAAATGAAGATTTTTAAATTTGAGGATTGTGGTCAACTTTGGCTGATGCTATGATTCATTAGGTAACTAAAAATTGAAGGAAAAGTGTTTCCTCCCTTTTGCCTTGATCATTATTTTTATTATGGAACCTGAGAAATTTAAGTAGTTGGTAGTTATGTGGCAAGTTTCAAACTTTAACACAACTCTGTTTTTTAGGTACTTGATGCATTGGTAAGTCTGTTTTGCCGTTCAAATGTCTCGGCAGAGACACTTTGGGATGGTGGTTGGCTTTTGCGTCAATTGTTGCCTTACAGTGAAGCAGAGTTTAACTGTAATCATCTTAGATTACTCAAGGTAAGAAATTTTATAGTTATGTTAATTTATTTTATTTACTGGTTCAATTTAAGTAACAGCAGTCCTTTTTAGATGACCTGGGTTTTGTTAATATTCATCATTACCAAATCCTCAACATCTTGAGATCATGTTTGGAGTTTAAACCCAATGTATGTTTGCCACTTGGATTATGTATGAAATAATAATTGTGGTAGTGTAATGATTTGGTGATGCTAGTTTTCCTTCATTATACATCTCCAGTGTTTGCAAATTAAACAGCGGGCTTGGGTGGAATGACACTTTAGTCTTTATCTTCAGGAATCATTCCGCCATTGCACTAATTGTGTGCTGGAGGAGACCGCAGGGACTTGGTCTGATCATTTGGTGGCAGTTATTTGCGATGAGTGGAGAAAGTGCAAAAGAGGTGTCTAATATATTGTTTGTTTGTGTCACTCTTTTCTTTGGGAGAATTGACTAAATAACTAAGCATTACCTGCAGCAATTGAGGCTTCTTCTCCTCGTAAAGATCCAAAGTTGATGCTCTTGTCATCATACAAGGCCCCCTCTGAAGGTACTTATCCCTCTCTTCAGTTCATTCTTACCATGTCAATGTAAATGCTAGGTAAGTTGTCTTTGAACTTGTTTGAGTGGTCTGCACTAGTTAACAGAGTTTTCTTTGTCTGTTTTCCTTCGTCTTCCAGAACATGCTTCCACTGAATCTTCCTTTGTTGCTGGTGAAAGAATGTGTGAGACAGTGAAGGTCTTTCTTGTTGTGCTTTCTTTATGTTTTGTATGATGATACGGCAAAGCTATGATATATATTTATATAATTCTTTGAATGGTGTACATTAAAACACAGATGGAATGCTATAAGCATATGCTTGCTTAATAGAATGGGAGTAGCTAACCTAGACATTCTGTATTCTGGAATCTTGTCTGTGCGCTGCTTCTCACATATTTAATTATTCCCAGATTTACTGCTAATTGTTGTCCTGATCTTTCTAGGTATTTGTACTGCTTCATCATCTCCATATTTTTTCGCTTGGTAGAGTTTTGCCAGATCAACCTCCTGTACTCACTTCGGAGGAAATTGCTGAGAACTCCAGGGGGAGGAAAGCTGGTGTAAATGCATCAGGAATGAAACCAAACACTGAAATAAATCTTGGTAATTGCCATTTCTAATGCAATGTTGTCATAGAGGTTAGAGGATATGTCCTTCACAATGTTTGTTCTTGCCTTCTCTTTGTGAGAAATGTGGGTATACACTATTGTGTTTTTCCTTTTGTGTTTTTAAACACTCTTTTACTCTTCAATCTTGTATGTTTAGTTTTCTCCAAAAATATCACATCCAACGTCTATTTTCCAAATATCAAACAACTGTTTTCAGCTAAACAACATTAAAACCAAAAACACAAACATAAATCAAAACACAAAAGAACATATAATTGATGTTTGTGTGATTCTGTATCTCGGTTTTTACTTGGTATTTTGTTCTGTTGTCTATCTTCTTCAGTGGATGCTCTTCCTTGTCGAATTGCATTCGAGAGGGGCAAGGAACGGCATTTTTTCTTCCTTGCAGTTTCTTTCGGAAACCCTGGTTGGCTTGTACTTGCAGAAGAATTCCCTATGAAACCTCGCCATGGAGTTGTTCGTGTTGTTGCTCCTTTGGCAGGATGTAATGTGAGTATTGTTCTTATGAAAATTCACATCTTCAGTGTGACTATGAATTGTCGCTTACGTATTCAAAGCTTCCTACTTAATAAATTGGCCACTCAAAACATATTAATAGCGGTTAACTTACAAAAATTGGAAGTACAGAAACCCTTGATTTAATTATCAATGGAGCTGTTTTTGTGCATTGCTTGTATCCTTATAGATTTGCAGATTTTTTTTTTTTTTTTTTTTTTTTTTTTTTTTTTTATCTTATCCTATGAAATGCTATTTGTTTATTTATTAGTTCACTTAAAAGTTTCTGGCCAGTTAGTTAACATGTACATTTGTACTCCAGCCCCGGATTGACGACAAGCATCAGCGGTGGCTGCACCTCAGAATTCGTCCATCCTCATTCTCCTTAGCAGATGCGGCAGCCAAAGGCCATGGCAAAGTGAAATCCAAACATTTGGTAGACGGACGGTGGACCCTGGCATTCCGGGATGAGGATTCTTGCAAGCGCGCTTTGGATATGATTCTTGAAGAAACCAAGTTGCAGAGCCAACAGGTGCAGAGAAGTCTACAGCCGTTGCTTGAATTTGATCGAAATCTGAAACCTGCTTCTGATTCTTTCGACGGTGGTGGTACTGGTACAACTTCGTAACACCCGAATTCTTGCTTCTTTGAGAGTGGTTTTTTCGCCATATTTTTTGTTTTTCTGTGCATGAAGAAGTAGAGGGCTTTCTTGCAGCCATCCATTTCCATTTGTACATTTTTCTTCCCAAATGATAATATCATCATCCATCCTTAGGTAGATAGACAGTCTTAGGATAGATGTATTTAGTGGGCATTCTTTGTACATACGATACGATACAATCCCAGACATATACCCACGCCTGCCTTTTTATTTTTATTTTTTACCCAATTCAAGTATGTGTAACATCTCTCTTTCATATACATATATACATCTTATCCGAGCTAATGAAAGCCATAAAAATGATTTTATTTTATTTAGTCCATTTATTTTCTTCCATTTTTAAGCACTTTGTAAATTTGTTTTGGGTACTTGTATTTTATGAATGAATGTAAAAGCAAACTCTGTTTTTTAATATAATATAGTTTGCATAAAATGTTTTTTTTGTAAAAAAACAAAACTAGACGATATATATATATATATATGTATTTTTTTCTGTTTTATCTAAGAAATTAGGTGAAATTTTTAATATTTTTCTAAGAAGCACAATACTTATTGTAAGAATGTTGTCAAATTTTTAATATGGTTGTTTGTTCATGAAAAAAATAAAATAAATAGTTTTGATTGGTTTTTTCCATTTTCCTTTTTTAAAAAAGTAAAGCTACGTCATCTTTTTCTTTTATTTAAAAATCTAGTAACTGTTTGTGTTGAGGCTTAATAAAAGATGTGGGTTTGGCTTTAAACAAATTTGTTTGTGACTTTTTAAAATTACTTATGAATATATGTTCATGATCTAATCATCTAAATATCATATAAGAAAAAAGAATCCTCTCTAGTTTAGATATAATTAATTAATGTCATTTATCTCTAAAAAAAATTTACCAATCGGATCAACTTTATCGACAATGTGAAGACTATACAATATCATATAAATATAAAAGATACTATAAATTTATATTTTAAAATTATATTGTCAAAATTCTATATTTATAGTTCAAATATATTTTTGATCATGCATTCTATGCCAATCGAATTAAATTCAATACACATCTAAAAAGAGATTAAAAAAAATAATCGGTAACAGTAACATATCAAGAAGCATTATATGTTTGTTTAGTTGTACTTCTCTACAGTTTATTTCTTTAAATGAAAATAATAATATATTGTGATATTTTACTTCGTGTTAATTTTTTGTTCTATCATTACCTATATTTAGAGGCAAACTAACTTGAAATATACAAAGTTACAAAGAGTACAAAACTCACATATATAGATGATATGTGACAATTATTAACATCTATAATACCGGCATAGATAATATGCTAAATTATTAAATTCAGCGTGCACTAATATGCATGTATTATATATATATAATATGATTACAGCATTTTCATAAAAGTGATCCAACAAGAGATAACTGATGGTGTGGGATGAACTCATGACTGCGAGGTAATGAGTTGAAAACGTAATTCGTTCAAAAACAAGAAGCAACACATTTTTGTCCATCATCTACTACCATATATGTTGATGATGAACGAAAAAATGTACACAGTCTCGTATAATGGAACACAGACAGTGTACTTTGATTCACTGCAACAACACAGGTGTATCCACGTACGTCATTATCAGTATTCACATCATTTTCGTTACGTTGGTAATTCTTGTTAATTTTTTAAATGGTGGAATTAAAATTAATTAAAATAATTTATATTAGAACCAAAATATTTTTTTCCCTTTTTATTATATTATCGTTCAAGTACCAATTTATTTAATATATATTTTTTATTAGTTATTATTATTTATATAACTATTTATATAAAAAGTATCATACAAATAAAAGAAAGATCAAATTTATGATTTTGAAAAAAAAAATTAAAACTAAAATTTTAAAAATTAAAAATTAAAATAAATAACTAAATAAATAAATATAAACTAACAGTTGAATGATGATTATATACATATCCAGTTCACTTTTACTGGAACGACAGGGTAGTATATCCGATAGTTAAGTTTAAAAAAAAAGGACAAAAATAATACATATTTATAATGATAAAATAGTTGTATTTTTTAAATATTATATTTATAATATAAATATACATATTTTTGAAAAATTTAGTAATAATTAACTAGTATATTTTAGTTTTATATTATTATTTTTATTAAAATATTATCATAATATTTTATCATTTATTTGTCAAAAATAATACTAAAAATCCATATAAATCTTTTATGGTAGATTCGATATTTCCAACAAAAATTCGGCTAGATTAGAAAATTCAACTAAGGTTTTAAAATAAGCGACGAGAAATAAAAATTAAATTCAAAAGAGATAAAATTTCTAGCCCAATGAGTGTATAAGAAACTAGTTTAAATATTCGATCATCAATTTTAAATAATCTTGTTATTTAATTGATAAATTAATTATAAGAATTAGATACGATCATAACGTTCAATTTTTCCTTACTTTATTGGCGATAATGGTACGACCGATTGGCCGCATTCTTAATCAAAGAAATAATATATGTACGACCAAAAATTAATTTCTCCAATTGAAAATATAACGATAAAAATCCAATTTCAAATATTCAATCAATTATTAAAAGATTAAATTATATGATCATGCAACTTCTAGGCTAAACTTGTTAACCTATTTACCACTTTATCAAACAAGTGCACAATTACGGATGTAAATGTTCGATTGACACACAATTGCTAAACCAATTTAAAACTCGGTCGTGATAAAAGATTAAATAAAATAATTTTAGGCATGCATCACATAAATTACATAAACATCAATTTAATAAACAAAATTCAATTAATCAAAATACAATCTCACAAATCCAAATCCGAAATCTAAATCAACCATTGGACTAGAATAAGAAAAACTAGCTACACATACTAAATGAAGAAAACGATAAATAATGATAATCACGATTTTTCGGCTCATCTTCTTCTATTGCTTCCAAATCCTTAAGATATGAAATATATGTGTAAATCGTAATATCTCATCCAAGACTTTTGTAACACCCTCAATTGGCTCATACTGGAAATTCTACCACAACACTATATTATGAGGTCGTTACCTCCTATTTCGGGCTCCACAATACAGTGTTAAGATTAAGATTAACTATAAAAGTGCATTGTTATATAACACAATTTTATTTATGAATATTTATAAAAACACACTGCGAAACAAGAGATTTTTCCAGTTAAAATTTTACATATAATACAACAGATGTAAGTTTACTCACTTAGTCCGTCTCTATATCTCGAGACGTCCTCTCTCCCGGAGGTGCCATGCATACCTGAACCAAATATTTTTCTTTAAAAGCAGTTTATTATTAAATTCATTTTAAAAACTAATGTGAAACATGTCATGTCATACCGTTTAAAATAAAGACTAATCACCTTTATTCATAAAATACGTGTAATGTCATGCTAATAGTGAAAAGATGCAACAAATATATCAAACTTGACAACCATACACATGCACATATATATACATTCGTCAAAGTGAGCAGTCGAAATAACCTTGCCTCCGTAATAATAGGCTTACTGTATCTATCTAAGTGAGCAGCCGGAATAACCTCGGCCCTATAATAACAAGCTCACTAGACCATCACCAATAAATAGTTGGAAAATCCTCAACTCAAGGAAGAACATGATAAACCCATAATAATATAACAGTCATCTGATCACTTCCATATACCCACCATACAACTCCCACAATCAATACATGGATAGCGAACGTTGTCGCCATTAACCACAAGACGCTCCATAGTCTGTGACAGCGAAGATAGGACCCTCATGTCTAGCCCTACCTCATGTAATGTAGTAGAATCCGTGCAACCTCGAATCACCCAAGGGAAACTCGGAAACTCTACTCGTCATCGTGCGCCCTAACGAATTATGTTTGGAGTTTGACATATAATCCTAAACTACTGGTATACCTCACCAGTGATCAGTCCAATGTGTGGAATAACACCTAACACGAATGATTAGACCAAATACGTCTCAACTAAAATGAGTTTAATCTCTTAATGATCGTGCGTCTATATCACCCAATTGTCCGACTACTATCGTTCACTATCGTCAAAGTGTTACGGTACATCGGGGTCGAATACCCTAACCCAAGATGATGCCCTCGCCTAGCATTACCGTATACGGCGAGTAAACGATAGATCCATAAAATATATCCGATAAACTATGCAATATGTGTGTAGCATGTCAAATAAGTGAATTTACCAAAAAGGGCTGGTGAGATAGCTCACATGTCCTCCTTTTCAGAAATTCACCAACGTGATCAAATACGTATATCAAATATCATAAAATGCGAAGTCTCATGCATGCATACGCGCACACATATATATATAAATATCTACATGCACTGACGAAATGATCAACATAATAGCACATTAACATTATAATTGTAATCGCATGCAACATGCATACCTAATTTCTTAAAATTAGATTTAATTCCTTACTGCTTATCTTTTATCGATACTCCCTCACTTTTTGCAATATCACCCAAATCACCTCCAACCTACACTTGTCCCATTATTTACTCAAATAAGATGAACTATATTCTTATTCATATGAGTTACTCCCTCCGTCCCAAACATCCTGCAATATTTCTTTTTTGGTATGTCCCAAACACCCTGCAACATTTTCAAAATAGGAATTAATTAATTATACTTAATCTCTACCCCACACTTTATCCCCTCACATCATCCAAATAAAAAAAATAATATATATATTTTTCTCTCTCTATCACATCACCTAATTTCTAAATTATTCTACTTAATACTATCCACCTAAAAACCCGTGCCAAAAGCAAATGTTGCATCTTGTTTGGGACTGAGGGAGTACTTGTTTATTCAAAAGCTAATTTCTATAATTAGCTCGTCGGGCTTCAAATTTTTATATTTAGTAGAATACGATATTCTAGCTATAAAACCTTTATACCTCATAATATTTATATCATTCGATTATTAAATAAAAATACTTAAAAATATAAACAAACAGACATGTACAATACACTGCGGTTTTCAATTCGGTTTGGATCGATACGAAATTCTCATAATATGATCCTAGGATTACAATAATGCTATTAGTTAAAAACTCGTCGATTAAATAACCAAATAATCAATTATGAATTTACGAAGAATTTATAATTTAAAACCTCAATATGCAAATTCATATTATAATTTATAATTTAAACTTTACATATAGTAAGGAATATAATATACTACCAAAATCGAAATTAAAATCAGACAGTTAAATTTTTTTTTTCTTCGCGTTTCTTCTCCGCTTCTGCTTAAAGGGTATGGTAAATTTGCTCATTTCATTTATTTATTATATATATACTTATATTATTATTATTACTATTATTATTATTATCAACCACCATCTTATCTATTTATTTAAAATATTCTAGCAATCTGGAAGACAATTTTTTATCAACAACTCTTTTACTTCGAAAGTGAATTGCACCCCTCTCAATTCAAATAAGTTTAGATTATCACTTTATTATATTATATATATACACATACTGTGATACCCGGTCCGTAAGACACGCAAAACCGAGTATGTCAGGATCGTAAACTCGCATCACAGGTAACATGAGTGCTTCTATCCTCACTCACGTGCACCCTGACAGCAAGCACACAACTTTAGAGTTCTATTCAATCTATTTAATTTATAAGTTTTTTTCATTAATCAATATTACACATACATTCATCCCTTTAGGGCCAATCTTATTTTTCTAAAGGTTCTTGGCGAAACAAAAATCAAATACCCTTAAATATATATATATATAAAATATTTTTTTCACATATAATAAAATATAAATAATTACAAAATATAATTTTTAGTTTTTTTTTTTTTCCAAAAATATCAATAATACTATTAATATTAATTATGTCTAGTATTTTTTAATCCAAAAAAAATTAAAACAAAAATAAGAGGCCCCTAAATATATATATATTTACCTATAATAAAATATAAATAATTAAAAAATTATATTTTTTAGTATTTTTAGATGCAAAAATATTAATATTAGTTTTGTCTAAAAATTTTTAAAAAATTAATAAAAGACCCTTAAATATATATGAATAATATATTCTTTATAATAAAATATAAATAATTAAATAAAATAATTTTTTTAATATTTTTAGATGTAAAATATCAATAATACTATTAATATTAATTTTGAATAATTCTTTCTTATACACAAAAGAAAATATTAAAAATAGAGTTTCAAAATTTGAAGGTCCAAGATCTAAACTCAAAATTTCGTATATATAACAAATGTACCATCTAACCATAAAATTATATTATCCTATTTCAATAAAAACATCAAATAATATCTATATATAAATATTTTATATATAGCATAAATATATAATAAGGCCCTAGTTATACTGGGCGTCAATCCTCCATGCCATTTGCTACCAAAATTTTCCCTCAAATTCTATTGTTATTTACTTCTATGAAATTCAATTCGAATTATTATTCTTGACAAGTTTGCATGAACCCTTCTCAGTAGGAAGGGTTAATTTGGAAAATCTAACACTATATTGATTTTCTAAATTTGCACACGATCAAATATAGAAACAACACAGGTCTTTATTACACACAAGACAGCTGTTTGTAATAAAGACATGTGTTGTGTTCATAACTACAACGTGCGTTGTATGAGAGTATGTTAACTGTTGTATCTGTTTGTATAAGAATATATCATGTGTTAGTGCATGCGTTATATTTGTATTATATTAACGCATATTGTACGTTGTCTATGGTTATACCGTGTACTAATAATCAGCCTACCGTGTGCTGTTGAGCACTGTAGCTGCCGCCCTTCTCAATATATTCTAGTCATTGAATGTTAATAGAAATTAGCAGACAAGATTATTTTCGTTGGCAAAAATAACATTCGCTTTGAATGTTAGTCAAAATATTGATTCCATAGTTTATAGCTTTAAAACATTCAAATAGGGCTAGCAAAAATTAACCCAACCTGATAACCCGATCCGAACCTGACCTGAAATAGTTAGGTTTGGGTTGAGATTTTCGACCCAATTAATAATTGGGTCAAACCCGTTTAACCCATTTAATTAAATGGGTCAGGTTAAGGTCTACATTTTCGATTTGAAAATAACCCGTCTAACTTGTTTAATTAATATTATTTTAAATTTAAATATATTTTTTAAATTTTATCAATACAATTCAATATTTATGACCAATTTTATAAAAGTAAACAATAAAAAATAAAGGATTGTGTTGTGTACTATTACGTAGTGTTTGTTAATTCAATTATTGAATATCGGTTTCATGATATGAATAAATAATTTTTTGCTTTAATATGTATATATATTATGCATTTAAAAATTTTGTTAGTATAAATTTTAATTTTAAATTAAAATTTAAAATTTTAGATTAAACGGGTTATACGAATTAGATTCGGGTTGACCCGATTAATAAAAGGTCAGATTAAGGTTGCAAATATCAACCCATTTAATTAAGTGTGTCAGGTTCAGGTCAAAGATTTTATAATCCGTTTAAGCTGACCCGAACCCGAACCCGACCTGATCTATTTGCCAGCCCTATGTTCAAATCATGTTTTCATTCTCAACCAATTATTTCTCACACAAAAAAAAAAAAAAAAAAAAAAAAAACTCTCAATATCCCTCAATTGAAGAAAAAAATTCTAAAAAACTGTGCAAGCAACACTATAGATCAAATTGAATAAAAATAATTATGATACATAATATATATTATATTGTTATGAACAACAATAATTATGAATGATACATTCCATGAATCCATCTAAATTCAGTCAATTTTCATTTGAAAGCAATATATCTGAAAGACCTACCCCCTTTCATTCACTCCCTTGTCCTGCTACTGAAATTAAATCAGCCTAAGCAGCAGTTGATACAAATAACAAAATCAACATTGCATGTTCTTAACTATGACTCTCTCTCCCAAAGAATTTGTTCATCAATCTTGCTCATCATCTCATCATCCAGCCGTTTCCATGTCCTGATCCTTTCGACTCCACCCCATGTCCGCTCTCCTTTCTCAAGTTCAGCCAATATGACTCTGCCTCGTCTCGCCCATCCAGCCTTGCCATAACCATGATATCCGAACCCTCCCCCATAGCAAAACCATACTCCTCCGAGAGACCCACAAAAGTCGTTTTTGTGATCATGGCCAATGAACACAGCCTTCACATCTCCCATAGAAACTAGGGTCTCGAGAACTCCTGAGTTTACGATGGAACAAGCTATATATTCGTCATAATGACCAACCACGTTGTAGAGAGGACCTTGTCGAATTTCTGGAATTGGGATGTGGAAGAATGCCAATGAAGGGGACGTGCTTGAATATGATGAAACCACAGGTAGCTTTTGTTCCTGTTAGGATGTCGCCTGCAGCATGTTATTAATTCGAAATCTGTAGCACCGGAATTTAAAGAATTAAAAAAGATTCATCAAGAAATCTAGGCAATAATTAGTTACACTTACACATGAAAAAATCAGATTATTTACCTGAGATTTCTCAGAAATTTGACGAAGCCAATTAAGCTGGGATTCTTTAATCCAATTGTAAGTTCTAACTCCATTAACGGTAGCTCTGTCACCACTGTCAAGGAAATAAAGATTGAGAATAGTGCTATTGGCAAAACTTGAACCTGGAGAACCCCACACTTTAAGATTATAATTTCCAAAGCCATCGATTTTGGGAATTGGGGTCTTTTTGTTGGGATTGAAAGTATCTTCAACTGACGGAAAGGTCTGTGATAGAGAGAAATCCATAAGAGAGAGGAAAGACATCAGCTCTGCACGAGTCATAGTAGATTCCTGGTCGTGGTTTCCAAGCACAGCTGCCCAGGGAATTCCAGATTTTATAACTGGATTAAAAGCTTGAAACAGAGATTCAGCAGCATCAGAAGCACTTGTCCCAAATATATTATCTCCTGTATGATAAAACTCAAGTAAGTCAGCTATCGTGATTCATACAAAAGGATGCAAATACAAAAGACTACTAAATCATCAACAATTAGTAATGAAGCAGATAGTGCATCCAAAGCATTATGAGTTTAAGGCCCTTCAATATATATATATATATATATATATATATAGAGAGAGAGAGAGAGAGAGAGAGAGAGAGAGAGAGAGAGAGAGAGAGAGAGAGAGATTTGGCAGACACTAATATACTCAGCTTGAAGCCAATAGTGTAAGAAAATGATCTATGTTCTCATATGCAATTGCAGGAAATGTGTTGCCAATGGAATGCTTAATTTCCGAAGAATGATTAAAAAGACTTTTAACCCATAAATAACATTGACTGCAATGGTGTTTTGAACACCGGCAATGATAAACACACAAAATTCATTCAAGGAAAGGGAAAAATTAGTCATTGAATCAGCAATTGTGATAACACAGTCAAAGAGCAGCACTTCATTATCACCACCAGGATCGATATTGCATCAAATGAGCCCAGTAAATTATTTTACTTCTTCTCCCCATAACAATAAAATCAAATATCAATTTACAAGACACGCAGGCGCGAACAGGTCTATCAATTAAGACACTATAAGTGCTTGAAGAGCTCCATAAAATTAAAACAAATCATTCTATATCTAACAAACATGAATAATCAACTATAGAGCTCACTCAACAAATCAAATTCTCCCCTGAATCTTCTTTCAGTTGCCACAAGATTAGACAGGTCAAATGTAACAGTAGAGAGTATAATATAGCTTTAATACAGGAAGATTATTTATTTAATATTTAACAGTAGAGTCACATTTAGTTTATAGTAGTAGAGCAAGTTCGGTTTTGTGATCAACCCAGTAATGGAAGTTTTATCCCACAAAATTATTTAAATTAAAAAATAAAATATTTGACTACGCTCCAATGGAGTTCAGAGTGGATAAGCGTCTGGGAGCTTGAGGACGATGTTTTGAAAATAAAGGGCGCTACCAGATATATTTTAAATGGTACGGGCTCTTGTCAAATGCATTTTCCAGAAAGCGGAGCACTATAAAATATAATTATGTACGGACAGATATATTTTGTGAGGTCTTTATGGTTTCAGAAGGCTAAAACAAAAATCTGGGCGTATTTTAATATTACATTTATTTTATTTTATCAAATTAATTTAGAAAATGGAAAAATAATTTAATTGCGATTATTTCTTTATACCAAAAAATTGCATCTCTTTAGAGTAGAACAAAACGACAGCTTTTATTCTATAAGTAGATTGATCTATTTATTATAGAACTCATCCATCGTGTCAATCAAAATTTATATTTATTTTATTTTCTGCAATTTATTTAATTTTTAGCATTTTCTTCATCTACCCTAAGTTTTTTACTACTTCCCTAATTTCTTAGTTTCTTTAGTATCAAAAGAAACTTAATCACGCAGATTATCATGATTGAAAACGAGGACACAAAGGACTGCTAGACATGGAATGTGCGAGTTGTCGGCATTCATGCTTAGTTCCATGAATATCGATTTGGAATGAACGCATTCTCAAAATTAATCAGCGTTAATTAATTAATTAAAGTACCAGTAAATGCGACGAAATCAGGGTTTTCGAGCTGAATCATCCTCTCCAGGAACCGAGACGTGTTCGAATCAGAGCAGTGCTTGAATTCACTGTCCAAAACGTCCCTGCATCGAGTCAACTCTCCATTCCCGAAATGCATATCAGCCACCTAAATCAACAAAATTCTCAGAAAATCGCAAACCTTACGCACTGGCACCATTCCATCCAAAATTATTTACATCAGCAGCTCCATTTACCTGGAGAATTTTAAAAGTTCCATCCGATCGGAAGCGCAGAGGAAGAGGCGCTATCTTCTTAATCCTGACATCGTGGCGGTCAACGTCGAGCTTGGGAAGGATCAAATGCGTGTGAAGAAGATGAAGAGAAGCGAAGATGAGGAAGAGGTAGAGGAAAGAATGGATCCATGCGATTGTGATAGTATCACCGGATTCCATCCTCCCCACCATCTTCGTTTGATCCCAAACTAAAAACCGAACGATAGCAAGCCAGCTAGAAACGATACCGTATTAAGGATGGAATATAATTTTAAAAACGTATTAGTATTCCCCTGTCGTGTTTTCAAAACAATTGGGCACAAAAAAAAATAATTATAAGGATAGAATATGATCTATGTTATACTCCTTGTCTCAACTTAAATGATTTTTTTTTTTTTTTTAATCATTTCGTTTGATTCATTTTATAATATATATTTTTTATTTTATTAAACATAATTATAAATTAATATTATTAAAGTATCATTAATATTTGAATTACAAATATATCATTACACATATTATTATTTTATAATCTATTATAAAATTGCAAAAATATACCTTAAAATAGGGCAAATGGAGTATAAGTTTTGAATTAAAATAAAATAGGTGTAAAAAATATATAGGTCTATTAACGATGTTTGTATAAATAAACAGAAAACAATTGATATAATATTTTTTAAAGAAAAAATATTACTCTTTTTGTCCCATATAAAGAGTAATGTTTATTTTTTGCATGTAAATTTTTTAATATTAGTATTATATTATATTGTAGTAATAAAGACGAAAATACCCGTATTAGTATTGTGTAATATAAAAGTGGTGATATTTGTGTAATATATTGTAAGTTGAAAAAATATTTATTATATTAGGTAAGTAGTACAATTACTAAATTAGAAAATGATACCCTTATTTTAAGACGGAACCTTCTTATGGCACGGAGAGACTATACCTTTTTACCATATATAATTACGAGAATACTTTTGAGAAATAAAGTAAAATGTAAAATGAACACAATTTTACAAATTTTGGTAAATTATCCTTTTTTTTTTTTGTTAGGTTACAATAGTCAGCATGATTCTTGTAAGTTTTTTTTGTTTTTTTTTTCAAATATTTTTTATAAAATATTTAAGATGTGTTTGAATGTACGATTAAAATTGGATTTGTGGTTTTTAAAAAAAAAAAATTTATTTAATATTGTTAATACATTTTTAAACAATCTAATGATCAATTAGTCTAACGATGTCTTCTGTTTTATTTTGGCTATACAATTGACTTGATCAACACATTTTTGAACGATCGGATGGTTTGACAATGTCTTTCACATTATTTTGGCTTGACAATTTACCCCGTTAATATTTTCAATTGTATCTGTCAATATTTTCTATCATACTTTGGCAAGATAATTATGTTGGATTTGACCTCCTGGAATCGACAATTAGCAAGCAAGGAGAGCAAGCAATGCAAACCTTTGTAATATTCCAATTGAGCTTTTAACTCCTTGATAAAATTAATCATGACGAATCCACCTCAACCGATTGGAAAGAAATGTACATATATAAATATGTATACGAAAGAAAGAGTAGAGAGAAGTATAAAATAAAAAGAGGAAAATGTGAAATGAATGTAACGGTGTGGTGTCACGTGGTTGAATTTAAATATATATATATATATATGTAGTTAGGGTGAGTTTAGTATTGTGAGAGATAGGGTAGGAGAGAAAAAAAGAAAGATGATAGGGTGGTGATGGTGATTGAGATAGGGTAGGACATAACAAATGAATAAGTTTTATTTTCATTAGTGAACTTGTTGAAAAACAATATAATTGAGAGTACAATATTTGTAGATTTCCAAAGCTATTGGATAAACATAAAGAAACAAAAGAATCAGAACTAAAATGTCTAAATAGACCAAGTCCTCATGTGGCAAGATTATTTCCACCAAAGTCCCCCATAAACTTGACTCAACTTTAAACGAGCTCTATTTCTATTTTTGAAAATAACAATGCAGGCTCTTCATCATCTATCCGAGGCAAGTTTTGTCTTGGCCACTCCTTCTGTCCGACCCTTTTATGCCTTCTCTACTGTCACCTATTTTATGGTCTTTACTTTAAATGCGTTCACATCGGTTGTAATTTTTTTGACCATCAAAGAAACTCCTTCGTTTTTTTTCCCGCTCCCTCTATTGCACTTCAGTGAAGAGTAGCTGACTACACAGTCTTCAAATGCCTTCAATCGTCCAACCACTTCTGAAACAACATACTCCCCAAGTCACAATTGCTCAATTCTTGCAATAACAGGATAATACTCACTAGATAAAATATCAAACAACTTTTTACCAATGTCGCATCGTCCAACGTTGCCCAAGGTTGGAATACTTTGAGGCCATTACGCTCATCTTTCCCGTTCTTTCAGTGTTACTTCTCATACACATTGTTTCAAACTCACTTCTCAGTGTCGGTAGAGACATTGTCTTGACACAATCATCTTCAACGAACCTAGTTTTCAAGCTCTCTCAAACCTCCATTCCAGTCTTTTTCGGTGCGACTTGCAATAGTAGGTCATCTAGGAGCATTTGAAAAAGGAGTGTTTTTGCCGCCTTATCATTTCTTGCATTTTCTGCTCTCATTTTCGTTGGTTCAATAGTGTCCCAAATTCCTTGGGCTTCCATGATCGCCTCAACTTTGATCGACCAACTCGTATAATTTGTCGATATTAATTGGGGATAGACAAACAATACCTCGATGTTGTCTCTCACCCCGAATGATATGGAACAATCGACATCCTATTGAACCTAGCATATTTGGGCATGCACCATATTAAACCAGGTTACATTAGGCTCTGATACCACTTGTTGGATTTGATTCCTATGATCGAGGATCAACAAGCAACGAGAACAGGCAATGCGAACCCCCATAATATTTGAACTAAACAATTTCTTCCTTGATAAGATTAATCAGGATGAATCCATCTCATCCAATTGAAAAGGAATACATATGTATATAAAAGAAGTAGTGGAAATAAGTCTAGAGATATAAAGAGAAAAAGGTGAAATGCATATATAGTGTGGTATCACGTGGTTGAATTTGGGTATATATATAGTTAGGGTAAGAGAGAAAAAAGAAAAATGATACTGCGGTGATGGTGATTGAGATTGAACAAGAGGGGACATAGCAAATGAATAAATTTTATTTCCATCAGTGAACTTGTTGAAAAAATAAATAACTGAAAGTAAAATATTTGTAGATCTCCAAAGCTACTGGATAAACATAAAGGAACAAAAAAACCGGAATTGGAATGTTTAAAACTATAAAACCACTCTAACTAGATTTTAGAAATAAGAAAGATATTGTTTGAAAAATATGGTCAAAATAAACTGAGTCTTCCAGTGGAAGAATTATTTCCAAAAAGTTATTCTAATGGAACCTCTATTTTATTGAAAAAAAGAAGACTCGATGGCAATTGCAAGAAGGCAACATGGTAACTATTGTATTTATTTTGTGTCTTTAAATCATTGAGAGTGAAGGCAACATGGTAACTATTGTATTTATTTTGTGTCTTTAAATCATTGAGAGTCGAAAAGAAAGACATTTTCAATTGAACATACAATAATCCTAATAAAATTATATTTCGGATCACCTCATTTATGTTTATGTATTATTTCCGTTATTATATTTCTCTTCTAAACATAGAAACTTATGGAGTTAAAAAATTGGCAACATGGTGGGTGACTTCTAGGTTTTTCACATTGATCACTCATCTATTTGACTTCGGTATGGAAGACGAGTAGTCAAAAAAACCATGGCTAGTTCGAGCATGCATACTACAGAAAGTATGGCAACTACAATTTCCACTATAAGAAATAATCAAATATCCACCATGGGTGATCCTAATGAGATAGATTGTCATATGCATAGTCAGCAAGGCCAAATGACATATGTAATCATCATGTTGGAATGTCTATATAGTAATTTTAAGTCTTACAAGAAAAAAATGATGTCTCTCTTTCAATTCTAAGGAATATATAACTCATACAATAGACATACAACAAGATATGATTTTATTATTATTATTATTATTATTTAACAAGATATGGAATTTCTATCTTATGTAAATAATATTATATCAGTAATTTGTTGTTTCGTAGCATAACAAAACATATCTTTAGAAAATATTGCTAACAAGTTGTCAGAAATGCTACAAAAGGTAAAATTCCCACCACATTCCCAAACAACATACCGTTTGGGCAATAACAGGAAAACCAAAACCCATATAAATATACGTCAAGTTTACATGGAAGCTGTTTAGGGTATGTTTACGCAGATAACATCGATATTACTAGAGTTCATATCCCTAATGCCCCCCATATGGTGCATCCATTGCGGGTGGAGTCAAAAGAGATATCCTAGGTGCTATGAGTTCATTTTGGAATGAATATTTAAGCATCTATTAAACATAAATCCCAAAGACCATTCCAAGAAAGGAATGCAACCAAGTATACATTGATTAGGAATTATAGAATATCCAATGAAATTGTCTTCTCAGCGCAAGATGATGCATCTACCGCTGAAAATATTAGGCAGTTCACCTACACAATTAAGTGATTTTAGAAACAATCCTTACTTCAAGATGAAACTATTGTTCTTGTCTTTGACAAAAAAGAAAATTATTTGGTTCATAAATATACCATCAGGGTATTTCTAAACTTCAGAGGATATCAAAGTAACTTTCCATTCCAAAATTTATAATCATATTCCAACTGTGTCCGTGATAGATCTATTGGAAACCAATAAATAACTTGATCACAACTATAGATTTTATAGAGCAAATATGGAAATTGAAGAGTAGGGGCCCAACGACCACCCATGATAAAAACTAACCAACTAAATTATCATAAACATGCACATGTAGTTTTGAGATCGATTAACCACCTATGATATTGACAATCTCATGTAGCCAGTATCCAAAGGGATCATATTAAAGAATATTTTCAAAGATAAAGACAATATTGTGTGATATGGAAAATTCCAACATGTGACTACAATAGATATTGATGATGGGCATGTGCAACAAAAGGAATTAGTTGAGATTTAGCAAATGACATTACAATTAAGTAAGGGCGATCCATACGTATGTCCAAAACTGAAGCTATTCCATTCCAAGTCAAAAAGAAATAATGCAAGCAAGCCATAGAAATCATTGATTGATGTTTTAAAGTCTGTTAAAATACTTCATGTGTTCATATATAATGAGTAACTTAAGATTTGAAAAGGG